GTGTGAGGGCTCCTTTTAGAAAGGTTACTCAAGGGCAAAATATTGAAACACAAGGTCACTTTACTTATTTGTTTACAAGTGATTGAAATAGTTTTTCACAATTATTTTGGCATACGAATCGTATTTTTCCGCTATTCATCAATTCGCTCATGCCACCACATTATATGCTGTTGTGAAATGCACAAAAACTGCAGCGGAAGACGAAGTAATCGGGTTGGTACAAAATGATTTGAAAGTAAGTACCTACTATAGTCACTTCACATATAGTTTTCATTTTTGAAATTTGGTAATTTCTCTGATTTCTCATCGGAATTCTTTCTGCGATAGAAGCTAATAGAAATACACTTGAAATTTCTAAAATAATGCCAGAAAATTGGATTCATGCAATCAATCGGGAGGACTGGTCTGACATGCTGACGATCGTGTGTGTTGTAGACATTTTCAATCTATTAGCAGTATTAGCTTGTATTGCAGAAGTGGCAAAAGGCAGAAGGAATTTTAATAAGGAATGACAACATTTCATAATGATAACTATGTGAGATTACTATTTACCTGAAAAATCATATTCCCTAGTCTCTTTTGCTGCATTTTTTGTGCATTGTACAACAGCACAATGCAAAGGCATGCTTGAATTAATGAATAACTCAAGAAACACGATTCGTATGCCAAAATAAAAACTATTTCAATCGTTCGATTCCACTGTAACCAAATAAAAAAGTGAGGTTGTGTTTCAATAATTCACAGAAGAATGAGGTTGTGTTTCAATATTTTGCCTCCAGGGTCGGTCATCGTGCACGCGACCTATAAAACAGATTTCACTTCAAAAGCTGAGGAGCTCCGAGGAATCCTCTCAGATAAGGAAGACTTGAGGAGTTCTTGAGGAAACGACTATTATTACGGGCCATAATCACAGGATAGATATACTCTCAATTCTGTGCCAGAACATCCCAATGATACTCTCAAGAGACGTCCTGGAGACGTATCAGGATGTATTGAAAGAAGATATTTTTAGGTTCGCAGGCTGTTATCAAGTCTTCTAATTCCGAAAAATATGAGTGAAAATTTGCAGCCTAATAACGTTATTAGAATGAAGAAAATAGAACATCCTCTTGAGGCTATTGGCGACATTTTAACCTTCCAGTAGGCGCGCCTTAAAAAAGACATAGTCTGTCGCTGCGGAGTCTGACTCCGCAATGGAGAATTAGGGTGGTTTCAACATGATGATTAGAATTTTTCCAAAGATTTCATCAGTATGCCTTTGGACATGAATATCTCTACGAAGTAAAATGTCAAAATTGCAATAAAAATATATTTATTCAATAACAAAACCCAAAATTACCATAAAACAACTATCGACGATTTGATAACTAGAATTCGAACAAAAACACTAGGTATAATTTGAGGACAAACTGAAAATGTTTCAATCTCAAACCACCAATGTCTCATCGGCAATCTCTGCAAATGAATGAAGCGGGTTCTAATAAGCAGATGAATTTTTCACATGTACTACAATAAAATTGGGTGTGTCTATTTTTTTTTATCACAGTAGCATCGATCATGTGTGTTTACAAAACGGTATTTTATGAAATATCAATCATCAAATGAGACAAAATGTTTGAATGAAATGCACAAAATAGCTACAAAGTGTAACTGCAATATGCAATATAACTAAGACGTCTTAGTCACTGCGGAGTACGACTCCGCACTACGCTATGAAATTCAAAAACGAAGCAATTTTGCACATCGGTAATACTCGATTCGTACTGAAGTCGTTATTTTAGGAAGGTACTGAGTGCGGCGGAATAAGGGAATGAAGTATATTCGAGAAAACTCACGTTTTATATTCGTGCGGAGTGATACTCCGCGTGCGACTACTGGAAGGTTGAGGATGTTCTCAGGGGAATCATCTGAAAATATGAAATTGGGTTTCCAAGTTGCAAGGATCGTAAAAATCTATCTGAAACCGTGTTCAAGACTGAAAACACAATAAGATCAAAAATTCTTACTGCAAAAAATAAAGAACAAAGTCTTTGTGGAAAATATACACAAAGAAACCACTCTTAGTGAGGACGGAAGAACATGGGTACAAAATTAACAAAAGACATATTGACATACTGTTTATAGGTTAATCGAGGAGGTGGAACATTCATTATTCCAGATCATTTGGGATTTTCTCTCCTCGTCTCTATAAAATAAAAATATCAATATTATTTCCGATCAGAGAGCCTAAAAGAAAAATTCACCAGTTTGTCAATGACAATTTGTATTGAAAAAGGTCAACTCGACGGGTTAATCTCGCGGGGACTGCCAAGGGAGGTACAATCGTTGATAATTCAGGAGAGCATCGTCCATGAAAATATCTATAAAATAGAGCCAGATCGCCAGCTTTTCTACGGTGTTTCAGAGAAGTGAGTGAGATTGTGAGCGAGGCATCACCCACCAGACGAATTGCCCTTTTTTGGAAAAAATCCAACAGTTTCAGGGTATGTTTGGGTGCTGCACTCCAAATATGGAAACAGTATTCCAGGACAGGTCGGATCTGTGCCTCATAGATCATAAGCAGCTGATTGAAAGTGAAATAGCTCCTGGCCCGAAACAGAAAACCAAGTTTTTGGGATGCACTTCTAGCAATTGATCTCACGTGATTTTCCCAAGAAAGATTATTGCTGATAGTAATACCAAGCATCGAAATGGATGTCTTCAAAGGTATGGTTACTCCAGACAAGCTTATGTTTGGCACAGTGAGATCGGCTTATCTAGAGAAAAGGCATGCTTGTGTTGAATAGGAATAGGCGAGTGGATTATTTTTTTGTTCTTTAAATAGAATCATCACTCAAATACCTTTCAATTTCATATTTTTGAAGAATTTTTTGGTCGATTTTCAGGTGCTAAAATCATCAATAATGCCGGGGTAATTTTCAAACGGCTAGAAATTCACCGCCAGTAAAAACTGAGGCGACGATTTCATAAGTAGGGGCAAACCATAGCACAGTTACCATGTATTGGAATACGATAGGGAACTTCAGAAATAATAATAGTTATTCAATAATTCATACATTCACAATCAAGTAGGTATTAGCAATAGAAATTCAATGGGGTTATATCACAAACAATTTTTATTTCATAATTCGATAGAACTCACCCAAACTAGCTCACCACCGCAAACCGTTTCTTGCTGTGAGCTCCCTACGTTTTATAAAAAATTATTGAAATCCCCGATTTTTCGGATCTCTGAAAACGAGGCGATGATGTGACGTCAAAACCCTAATACTGAAACAAGACTATTCCAGACAGAGATGAATGATACATGATTTCTGACAGAGTGAATTAGCGCGAGATCACAGTTGAAAGAATTAATATATCAGTTGCCTCAGTCTCCGTCGGGCGTTTGGTATTTTCTTTTAACTATGGCGAGATGAGGTTTCTACGTTATCAGAGAGTTTGTTTTCATTTATGTCCAAAAATAAAACATTCCAGGTAATTTTTCGATCGAATTATGTCGTCAATCATTATTTATGTATAAAAGGATCATTATAAACATGGTTTGAGTTAAAAGTTCTACTAAGGTGTACACGCCCATTGTCTCAAGATCTTCCCTTATGATTTGTGGTTTATTGCTTATAATAAATTTGTGTAAATGATAATTATAATAATTCACACTAGAGGACATCTGAATCGGTGAACGTGACAACAGCGCACGAATTGTGAGCGTGGTCTTGTCAGTTCTCAGCATTCAGCACAATGTTGCAAAGTCACCAACATTAACATGATATTTTGTTATGGAGAATAAGAAATATTGTCACGAGTGGCTCTAACCCCCACTATCGCAACTCGAACTTACTCGCTTGCAAGAGGTTTTTTTGAAAATGATAACTAAATAATTTAACTCCACTTCACAAGTTTATTTATTTTGAATAAAAACAATTAGGGCATGAAATAAATTGACCATTAATTATCCAGCAAGATACATCCAACTCAAATCGAAACAAAACAGGAAAACTAAAACTAGTAATACTCAAAAAGGTACTTACAGAAGGGCTCGCTTTTCGTTGGAGGATTGGAACTGCCACTCACGAAGTTTAGACATGATGCAAATAAGTTTGAGATTTACTTCTATTAGAAGATTTGAAAAGACTTTACGGTCCACTGTCCGAACCACAACTGCCGGTTTTTTCTCTAATACTTTTTCATCTTGGTTTTGGTAGTGGTAATTGATTCAGCATAAAAACTAGTGTATTCACCTCGATTAGGAAAAATCCAAAACCAGCAGTTTCTGCCCGTCAGCGACTTTACTTGAATAATAATAATAAAAATTGAAATCCCAACTATAATTTCCTTTGAATATCGTAATTCTCTACTGATATCCTGTAAGCTAAATAATTCTAAGAATATGATCTAGACTAGGTTATTGTACTGTTCTTGAATGAAATGAGAATTTCAAATATTCTCAATAGAATTATAGTTTTTATCCATTCTTGACAATATTTGGACATGTTGGTTGCTCGAAAAGTCAAGAATGAATCATAATATCATGGGTTTCTCCTATTATGTTTTAGTCAACGACAGGACTCGAACATCTCTTTGATAACTTGATTATAATTGGTGCCTTGACAACCTTGCTTCATGAGTGGCAATGGAAGATTATCTGAGGAATTTTTTCTCCAAACGTTATAAAACCGATTTTGTGTAATTTTTTTATTGAAAACTTCATCATTTTGTGTCAAAACGTTGCGTAGCCACGAATTTCCCCTGCCTAGGCAGAGAAAGTACACTTTCCTGCCTGTTATGCATGATAGAAAAAAATATAGTTTCAGAGATATTGACAAAATCATGGGTAGACAACCCCCTTAATGAACGCTTTCTCCATGTCGTGGAGGCAGACTCATCGGTATCCCAATCAGTAGTCAAAAGCCACTGGATGTTTATCTGGAAAATATCTATTGATACGATCGGAAAGTTATCGATGAGAAGCTCTACCGTGTCCAAAGATAAAAACGCTTATGAGCTTCCAGGATACTATCGTTGACTGGTTATCTGGAAAAATGTACGTTAGGATTTACTTGCTGCAATTTTTTGGTATCGCGTTTCTGAGTGTGTCATCTTCTCCTGAGACAGAGTTGGTGGTGAGGATTCTTGGAGGACCACTAGTTGCTCAACTGTTAGCTGAAGAAAATGGACATTTCTATAAGGGCCCAGTGAGTACCTATGTTTCCATTTCCATTGGATAAAATCACGTATCATTCTTGAAAAATTTGTGGAGAAGGTAAATGAGTCTAACGAGTTCTTTGTTTTTCTAGCTATACAGGGTGTATCTTAATAACACAGGAAAAATGTAAGGGGTGATTCCTTGTGATATTTTAGGAAATAGAGTTCATATAAACATGTGTCTTAACTTGATTCGTTTTCGAGATTGATTGATTGATTGATTGATTAATAGCAGAATGATCAGTCAGGGTTCGAAGCCCAAAACACTGCAGCCTTTGGGCTTATTGTATTCCTGATCATGCTGTTGACTTAGGTGAACAGGTTCGCTACCTTGATGAGGTTTAGCAGCCTCTTCACCAAATCATTCTTTGAAAATGCCTCTTGAGAGTTTACTGCTCCCAGAAGGTTGTATCTCCAACGCGCTAGTGCTTCGCACTCCAATATTACATGGGTGGCCGTTTCCTCCTCCTCATTGCATAGTCTGCATATGGGTTCGTCTGTATAGATGCCCATTTGATGCATATGTTTCCTCAAGGGGCAGTGACCGGTTATTAGTCCCGTCACTAGTTTGATCTGACTTCTGTTTAGGCTCAGAATGTCGTTAGTCACTGTTTTGGACAGTGTTCCAACCATCAGTTTACTGTGTCTTTGTCCTGGGATATTATTCCAGTATACCTGATGTCTTTCTTGCGTCCACCTTGCCAGCCAGCCGCATATTGAGGTTTTGGGGATACCGAACACAGGTTCCGGTCCCATAAACAACGTCGCAGACCCTTGCCTGGCAAGAGCGTCAGCTGCTTCATTGCCTTCAATTCCCTTATGCCCTGGCACCCATTGAAGAGTTACCGTTTTCGAGATACAGGGTATTAATATTTCCATGAAACATATTTTTTCTATTCATTACTCAGTTGTCTGTTCATCAATTTCAATGAAACTTTGTGGTTTTGTTAATAGTAATATGAGGCTTCTTCTGGTGTAGTTAGATCCGTGATAATATTTTCAGTGGCGTCACAGTAGGCGAATTTATCGAATTTTATGGTGAATGTCATTGTACGCCACTGGTTTTTCTGAGTTTCATACTGTTATTAGATTGAACCATTGATATAACAACTTTTTTGTCCTTTGTGTAATTTTTGTATCTAGCTTAGTTTTTGGGAAAAAAATAAAAAATCGATTTGACTCCAAATTTTGATGTAAGCGTGTTTTCAAGACTTCCATTGAGATTTCTCAATGACCCCAATTAGAATCATTTTGAAATTTTAGGACTTCCTCAGTCTCCAACTATACTGAATTTTGGCACCATGGAAGCTTATACAGAGAGGTTATAAAAAAAACAATTGATACTTCCAACTTCAACATCCTGTATCTCAAAAACGGAGCAAGTTAGGACGCATGTTTATATGAACTTTATTTCCTAGAATATCACGTGGAATCGCCCCTTGGATTTTTTCGGTGTTATTTAGATACACCCTGTATATTTCTGAGAGGGACATCGAATATGCTAGAGGGAACTCTCCCACTTTTTAGGATTTCCTGGAATTGACATCAAGTTTCGATTTTCAAATAGGGCACCCTCTATTTCATTTTATTATCGGTTAGAGATTATTCTAGAACGAATACAACGATACCAGAGGTTTGATAGGGTTATTTCTAAAGATTCAAAAAGATATTCGTGTTCAAAATGTCAATATGGTCAATTAGTGTGACAGAGCAAGAAGTTTCGATATTGCGCCGTCACACCCATTGAGCATCTGTATATGAGAAGAATGGCTGAAAGAATAACTGGACGTCACGTTACTGACGAGGATTTGATATCCGAAATGAATTTATTCGAGTGGAGTCATTTAACCTTTTTGCGAGAGATATAATTCCCATATCACTGAAACGAATGATTTTTTTTTTCAAGTTCCAAGCTCATCAAGATCAGAGTTTATACAAGTATATTTCTCATATACATTTCAATTTTCATTTTGATACTAAACATATTGGTAAGTTATATTTTTATATCATAATACATCATAATATTTTCATCCGATTTGAGATTTGATGTCAATTCTAAATTTCAGAGGATTTTCATTTTTCATGCTCTCTTTTTGGATGTTCAACAGATATAATTCAATGTTCGACGTGGCAAATAGCCAGGAAAGTAGTTGTTTTCTGTTGAATATTCAGAATGATATTATGTGCATATATCTTTATATGAAGGAGAATGCAAATTCTCTACTTCAGAAGATATTGTTTTAAAATTCTTATCGTGAATGTTCAATAGATGTAATTCAATGTTCATCGTGGCATATAGTCAGGAAAGTAGTTGTTTTCTGATGAATAAACCGAGAAAGAATTAATATTTCCATCACATGGAGAATGCGAATTCTCAATGTATTTCTTTATACAGGGTGGTCCGTTTTTTAATACGGAAAATTTAACAGCGTATAGTATTCGTTGAAATAATAAAAAACTTCCTATGAACATATACTTTTAAACGCTTCGTTTTTGAGATATTGGGTGTCGAAAATACGCTTCTGAATATGTTTTTTTAATCAAAAGTTAGAAACGGTAGATAAATTAACGAAATTTTTCACAGATACTAAACTTTTTGAGCTTTATTAGATTAAATAAGAATTATTCATAAAAACTATTCAGTGGCGGCTGAATCTGGGGTGGCGAAGGTAATAATTACACAAATTTTTCGGGTAATTATTTTTCATTTATTTTTCAAGTTTCAATGAAAAAAGCTCGCTTGTAAGATTTTATAACATTTTTTAGTTGAATAATACTACTTGATATCAATTAAAGAAGTAGGCTATGCTCAGTTGCTCACTGTTCACTACCTATTTTGAAGACAAATAGCAGGATATCCACTGCGGTCTATGGCCTGTTGTGACTCTTCTAATACGTAAATTATTGATTTGCAATGGTTACATTGATTGGTTTGGTAAACGGCCAATGCTAACTAGATTTAATGCATTGGAATGTTTCTTTCATTGGGTTTAGAGACATGCATAGGTTTGGTTTTTATTTTTCCTTCTGAAACGAAACAATTTGATAAAAAATCTAAGAGGGCAAAAAAATTGTATTTTGAAACGCACGCCCCTGAAAATATGTAACTCATTCATAAACTGTGATAGGTCTAAAAGTTAGCTCATTGATATTTCCACAATAGATGTGAATTTCATCATAATCGGTTATAGCATTTCTGAGAAATCAATAAATAATCGATTTTATAAAGAAACTTGAATACCCTATATCTCGAAAACGAAGCGTTTAAAAGTATATGTTCATAGGAAGTTTATTTATTATTTCAACGAGTACTATAATACGCTGTTAAATTTTCCGTATTAAAAAACGGACCACCCTGTATATCCATTTTTTATGTTCATAATTATATCTGAGAAGATTCCTTTTCAATTCTATATAGTTCTTGATGAAGAATATTAATCTGTGGAGAAATTAGTCAAGACAATTTGTATTTTCACATGCATGTTCAATCAAAATAACAGATTCTATTCTCTATTAGATCAGCTAAACTTTGCATCGACTCGATTTTGAAATTTTTTTTCTTCATCAACATCCGATTTACTGAGTACATATCTCTAGTTTCTGTTGAGCTGATGGTTTCCGTTTCAGGAAATACACCCTGTATGATTGGGAGCCAGTATTCAAATAGTATAGATCCAAGTTAATTGAATAGTGAGATAATGAAGAATCAATCAATTGCCATATGCTCAATATTAATTATAACTTCTTATCACCTAATAGCTCACTTTATACCCACCTATCTATATCAATACACACGATGTTCGAAAACAAAGTAGACATAACTGCTAAGTAATACTCGAAGTCATATCCACATTTAATATGATCAACATACCAAATTACTTGGTACATGTTACGGGCCTATATATGTCCATCCTCAGACTTATCAAAAAATTACAATTACGTCATGGGGATGAAGAAAGGTAAGTTACATCTTGAAATAATAATAAACAATGATGGGTTTCGTTGTATTTTTGGGACACCCAACTAACCCCAAAGATGTCGAACAGCACTTTATCAAAACTCCTTCATCCATAAAACGGCTAGGCTCTGGAATTCCTTGCCTGAGGAAGTATTCCCAACAACATATAATCTCCAGAAGTTCAAAAAAAATTCCAATACCTACCTCCTGTCCCTATCCTCCCTAGGAACGCACGATGTTCTTTGAACATTATAGGGATTTCTTTTTGTGCGCTCCAAGCGATAAAAAAAAGAGTTTACCACTGGGCACACATCGGTGAGGTAGACATAATAACCTCAGATTGAAATTCATTGGAAATCAATAAAGTTTTTTCGGCAACCGTCCGAGAAGTGCTCACTTCCCGGACGCTTTTTCTTTGAGAAAGTAGCATTTTTCCGGCCTAGTATGGGAAGTACGTACAGGATCTCTATAAATGATCGTAACATCCTAGTGGCTGTTGAATTTTTTTTCCATTTGCCGCTTTCTACTAATGCTGTCAACAACATTTAACGACCAAAAAAAGAGAAAGTGATCATATACAGGACCTTTTTTATATCGTTTTGCATACACTATGGAAATGTATCTCAAAGAAAGGAGAGTCCAATATTGGAGTTTGAAAAATAATAGAACAAATCAAAAATATTTATCAAAGAAGTAATAAATAACAATTTATTTCATTAACCTACATCAAATGTAGCATTTCAAAACTCTTCGCCGTTTGTTGTCGAAAATGTTCTTCAGCATTTCCGGACCAATATTTTGGCAGCAATGTGTTATTGAGGCTTGCAGCTCTTCAAGGTTATCATTGTCTCTCTTGAATATTTCGTCTTTCAAATATCCAAAGAGGCAGAAATCCAAAGGCGTAAAATCTGGAGAACGTGTTGGAAAAGAAAGATTAACTCCTCGACTTTTATCACACGGTTGTCATAGAATTCTTGTAAATATTCTAAATTTGCACGTGTGGTGTGGGCAGTGGCTCCATCTTGCTGAAAATAGCCAACTCGAATTTCTTCATCATCAAGTTGATTGATGAATGGTTCTAACATCGCTTGTCTGTACCTTTCACCATTGATAGTGCCATCGAAGAAAATCGGTCCATATATTCGCCTACGAGAAACTGCTAACCACACCCCAATTTTTTGAGAATGTAGTGGAGTCTCAATGAAATTGTGGGGATTCTCAGATCTCCAAAACCTAAAATTTTGTGAGTTCACGTATCCCCCGACAAGTGAAACCAAGCCTCATCGCTGAAAAATGTTAGGTCCAAAATAGCTGGTCATCGTTGAGATTATTTTGGAACCATTGGCAGTACTCCAGACGACGTGGGATATCTATTAGCAGAAGTTGCTGTAGTACACTGGTCTTGTAAGGGTGCATATGCAATCTTTTCTTGAGCACTTTATGGCATGTACTTAGTGGCACACCAGATTGTAAAGATAATCTCTTCAATGACGTTTGGGGATTTTGCTCAACACGAGCCCTTAGATTTTCGACAACTTCTTCCGATATTTGGGGCCTTCCTGTTGATCTCTTTTTATTAACGTTGCCAATTTGGATGAATCTGTTGATCACTGTTCTGATGTGGGCTTTCTAAGAAAATTATTTAATCTGTACATTAGGATATTTCGCCAGGTACTCATCCTTGCAGGCTACTACCGTGGATGAATGTATGCCGTTTCGACAATGAGACATTACAATTAATGTATTCTGCTCCGAGGAATAAGCCATCCCGCTTTTCAACACGCCAATCACGAAGTAGAAAACAGAATCGTTTGAAAATTTTAACGAAAAACTGACAATTGTGAGTTTATCAGCTATTACAGTGTAATGAGTGATGTCAGAAATTAAATTCGAATGTGTGAATCTCCATAAATGACAGGCGGCAAATGGAGAAAATATTTGAACAGTTACTACGATGTTACAATCATTTATAGAAACCCTGTACTTATAAACAAATAAGTCTGTTTTCGGCATTAAATTCAACCATCAGCAAAACCCAACGCCCAAGTTAAATTCCAAAATAAATCATCATTGAAAAGTGTTTCCATGCGATGCCAATGTAGAACCTGACTTGACACGCAAAAATGCTCTCTGCCAAAGCAGAAACTGATGGATTTCAGCAAATTGTCGAAAAAAAAATCGATTTTCTAGTTTCAATGGGGGCATCAAGTTTTCGTTGAAAGGTCCTGTGTATAATATAGTATGAAAACATTTTCAGGTTCTGGGATTTGCTGATACTTACATACTAATTCCTATCGAAGGAACCTTCGAGAATCACCAAAAAAGAGGACTGCAATCAAAAAAAATTGTCACCGATGATAGGGTAAGTTGGCGCCCATAAGCTTAATAAGGTTTTCTATCCAATGAAATTATTTTTCAAATTTTGAATCGAGGTCATATGGGCGGACATGCAGGAAGCGAAAACCAGACAAAAAAGAGATTACATATCATTTCATATAGATCCGGCAGATATACCAAAAGAAAGGCAAAAGAGATTCGAAATAAACAAAAACATGTCTCTGTCAAACGACACCTCGAAGTTGAGAAAAAAGAGATACTCCGGTACACCGGAAGAGATTATCAAAAGATATGAAACGGTAAGGAAGAGTTACAAAAGGCCACCAGCATCTTCCGAGAGTTTCGATGATAACTTCTGGAAACACCAGTCCGAATACGTATTCAATGTACCAAAGAGAACAATCAAAAGCGATGAAGAAGTACGGAAGATCTCCAATAGACCATCAATAGCTTCAACTGATAAAACTTTCAATGATGAACTATGGACCCAACAGTGGTATTTGGTAAGATATTTCCCACAATAATGAAACAGAACTATACGACAATAGCAAGGTTATTTAATGTCAGATCATGGTCAGATCTCAATGTCAGATCATATCCCAGCGAGCACAAACTTGCCTGGGATGTTTTGGGATGTTTTGAAAATGTTGGCATGAAGATGTTATTTTGAGACGTAATATGCACTGACCAAAGAGGTCTTTGAAGGATATTGAAGTATTTTTTTTGTTCTTCTGTGGCATTTCTTTGTTTGCCTACTGAGAGGTACTTATCCCTGGGATGTTTTAGAAATGTAGGCATGAGGGTGTTTTTTTGAGGCGTAATATGCACTTCCCAAAGAGGTCTTAGAAGGATATTGAAAGTATTGTTTTTGTTCTTTTGTGCCCTTTCTTTGTTTGCCCCACCACAACGTCTCATGCTTACGTCACAATACGATGAATTCTGATTTTTTTTCGATTTTGTTCTTTTTTTTCGAAATTGGCATTCGCGTTTGCAGCGTGTCATGCTTACATCACGCTGCTAACGAACAGAAAGGAATTTGGTGAAGTTTATTGTGTTAGAAGGCTTATTTAGTTTGTAATAATGACCATCAGATGCAAGATGTGTTGTTCGGTGCCTCAGTGTAATCAATATATAAAAGTACGAATTCATCAATACACAGCTTCTCCGCAGTTGCAAAATTATGCATTGTGGAGAACATTTTAAAAATTGGGAAACCTATTTCCAATTATATGTCTGTGTGTAGTAAGCACTACTCAGAAACCGATTAAGAAGGTAATTTCATATCAAGAAAATATTTTTATGTTCAATTTATTTCAATGCATTTTTTCATTCAAGGGAAATGGAATCCTAATGCAAAAGTTCATTTTGACAAAAGGCTTCAGAAAAGTACCTCGAAAATAGTTTTTTTACAGCGATTTAATATGCGCAAGACGCGTTGAAAATGTTCTGTTGTGTCTATGAAAAGGCTTTAAAAAGAACTAGGGAGAAGGTAGTTTTGTGACATATCAAGGACATCTCGATAATTGCCGCCTGCGGCGGACATTGGCTGTTCTATAATAGTTCTATTCATGTGTGAACAGAACATCGCAGTGGAGGTTCAATGTCTCGAAATCTCGTACTTTTAACATCTCTGAGATGTTTTTGTGCTCGCTGGGATATCTCCACGAAATTAACACACCACCAAAAATTAGCCAAAAGTTTAGGAAACATTTTCGTCAACACTACTCGTTGGACGTTTCTTGTTTTGAATGACAGGTTATTTCCTTCTGAACATTGGTGTGCAAACTGTACTCGCATAAAAACCTCTTTTTATTCATACCGGGTGTAGCAATTACACAGTGTTTTTTCAGTGCAGTAGAGTGCAATTGTTACAAGTGCAAGTTAGACTTGAAATTACACTTTGGATTTATCTTTTTTCAATTGATTCACTCCATTATCTTTCCAATTACTGGAGAAACATCATTTTATAGCGTAACATGATTTTAATGCAAAATTAATATCCATATTAAACATCGGAAAAACTGGAGTCATTGGATTGTATTAGTTAGATAAGTGTTTGGACACAGCTAGAAATTGAACTTTTCCTTTTCTATTTTCTATATTACAATGGTATGAGTGAATAAAAGAATAAGACATTTTTCTAAAAACGCATAACAAAGTAGCCTTTGACGCTTTCAAATTCCATCACAAAGTTGACGTTTTCCCAGAAATGTCATTCTTTGACAGCATTTGCGCTCGTGAGCGGAAATATTGAAAAAACGCTCGCTTATCTCTGTAACCTATACTTATCTATTCTTGAAAACCCCCAATTCTTTCATGATGGAAAATAGTGACAGTGAATCATCAAACACACCTTCCTTCCTGATGATATAGCAGAAAGCGCAAGAGTTTGAATCTCTTACCGGAGAAATCAAGGAAGAAATATGAATTACAATATGATACATTCATAAATTGGTGCCACTCCGAGATGGTGAATATCTATTCATAAAACGTTTTACTGGCTCATTTTGGTAAAAAATCAAAGACTTTGAAGTCATCAACTCATTGGTCTATATATTCGATGGTATACGTATACATGCTTGAATGTTAAAGATAATATCGGAATCAATAAGTATCTGAAACTTATCGCATTTCTCAAGAAACAATCTATTGGATATAAAGCGAGAAAAATCCAAAACATTCACCGCTGAAGATATATACCTACCAACAAATTTCTACAAGAAGCTCCCGATGAAGCATATCTGTTGAAAACGATGAATTATACTTTATATTTAAACTCTTTGTTGTCATCAGGAAGACAGTGTATCTTTATTTTATTGCATCAATGAGTAATGTTCAATTTGATTGCAGAGCTTATCGTACTATGGCTTAGAGGTCTGAAGCTCAGGTTGCCACGCTGTGGTCCAGTTTCAATTCTCGGTAGGCCCGACATCATTTTTCTGGCTTGTCAGTTATTTCAATTTTTCTTTTTTTTGTTTCCTTTGGACATATGGGATAATATGGACTAGAACTTTCTCAACTATTTCAATCGCTCATACTTTCAGGGTAGTTATTTCCAAAAGCTGCGTTAGTAGAAAAAATCTTGTGTGTATTTCGAGCACAAAGTGTTATTGTCGCTCTCCAAAGATTACCGCGCTCCGCTCCGCATCGCGCGGTAACTTTCTTTGTCGAGCGGCAATCTATCACTTTGCGCTCTAAATACACAAATAGCTATTATTCTGCACTTTGCTTTTTCTGGTAGCCCCTGATTGTCAGATACAATTTTAGAGGTTAGATTTTTTGTCAAATCAATAACCGTATATTGAAAATTGAAATAGGGTTCAAACACCCACTTCAATTTATGGCGATACACTTTTCACAGAACAATAGTTATTAAAATTAAAAGAATGCTTGTAACAACATTTTAATATGACAAAATATACACACATGGATATACTTATAAAAACTGTACTCGAGTGTTATGTCAAATTAAAAGATAGGTATACTCAATATATCGTTTTCACAAGCAAATTTGAAATTTCCATTACACAATATCATGCAAAAATATTCCAGGTTTTCCCTTTGAATCATCAGTCTCTGCCGTGCGTTTTCCAAAGTATTCGAGTTACGTTCCTCTTGTAATCTTGTTCCGAGAATGTCCCAGAGATTGTCAATGGGATTCAAATCTGGGCTCCAAGCTGGCCTTGCTATGGTAGCAATACAGACTTCCTCTAGATAATTTTTCACAACTCGTGAGACGTCAGGCCTGGCATTATCTTGCAGCAAAGAAATTCTTACACTATAATATTAGGTTCTCAAATCACCAATATGTACCTTTCAGCTGTGAGGCTGATTCATGATCACAAGTTCCATGTGACCAGTGCTTCCCAGACCATAGCCTGCTACTTTCGTGCTCACAATGCCAATTGAGTTCAAAAAAATCATGTAATCTATAAAATTGTATTTCTGGAAAAATAGGAAAGGTAATGGAGTAAATCCAAGAAAAGGAATGTTGAAAAATAATAAGGCTAAGTGGTTCAGGAACACGTGACTACCTGTAGACCGGTTTCGAGCTGTTGGCTCTCATAAGTGCAGGGCTGTCCCAGATAGCATTCTTGACCGCTATCTGGTGCGAACCTGACTCAACCATTTAGGCGCAGCTCGGCGTTTAGGAAGGAAACACTTGCGCTTTCATCCGTCTATAGGGTAAAATACGGATGGATGCCGCACTTTTTGTAAAAAAAGTATAAAAACTCGAGTAACACAAAATATGTATTTCAATAAACATACGATCATTCTTTAATCTATTTTTCATTGAAATATTGGTCCTGAAACAACATAAAAAAACTCTACAACTAAAAAAAAATAACAAAAAAAAAAAGTGTTCTGGCAACTCTCCCCCCCAGGTACGGAGAGATGCCTACAGCCATGCGGAGAGATGCCCAATGTTAATTCCCATAAGGGAGAGATGCCGCAATTTATTGTTGTAGTTCTGCACGTTTGCATGGGTTACAAGTATTCAAGTACATGGTACATGTCACATGCAACCAGTTGTTGCATCTTACGCAGAAAATCCAATCTACTGTCTTGGAGGTTATACTGTGATCCTCAAAACATTCCACTCAAAAAAATTGTTTGTCAGTATCTTGCTTGGCTGATTCAGGATTTTGGTTTTCCTTCAAATAGGATAAGGGAATCTCATCTTCGCTGTCGGATGTGAAGTTATTCGATGTTCTATGATCGGTAACATATAAAATAATGCTATTTTATTATTGAAACTTTTGTGGCATCTATCCGTATCAAAAAGTGCGGCATCTCTCCTTTTTGATACCGATAGATGCCTCACCAGCCTACGCCTGCGCCTTATGACTCTGTAGCCGAGAATACAAATATATAACGCTATAAAAGTCAAATTATCCCATCTTGTTATTTTAAACTCACTTCCCGAATACTATTAACAACATACAAATAAATATTAAGCAATAAAAGTACATCTTAGCAACTTTATTCCCACAATTCAAGTTAAACACTTGCTCAATCGAAGCACCCACCGCATGCAAAACAATAATGGCCGAATAGCTCTTCCATCCCGCCGAGAGTTGTTGTCAGGTGTACATAGTTTTCGCGTCACGTGGTCTGCGGCATCTATCCCCCCGCGGCATCTATCCGTACTCTCTATACGAATTATTGCATAGATTTCGAAAGGATGTAATCCAATGTTCTGCGTGGCATATAGCCAAGAGATTAGTTGTTTTTTTCTCGTTATCTACCATTTTCGTTCATTCTTTGAACTATTGTGGTAATGACTTTGAGTTTCTCTCTCTTTGTGACCATTGCATTCCACTTCCGAGTATTTGGCTTTTTCCTAGTAGATAATACGCCAGTCGGGCAATCAGCCACTCCCATTTCACCTGAAATGGGATCTTGTTTTGGAGTGTTTCTTTCCTTGCCAGGTGGCGTTCGGCGTTCGCGTTCATTTCGCGGACGTTGAACGCCTCGTGGGGTATAAATGCTGAGATGCGTTTACGTTGGATCAGGTTCACACCAGATAGCGGTGAAGAATGCTATCTGGGACAGCCCTGCACTGATGAGAGCCAAGAGCTCGAAACCCGTCTGCAGGAAGACATGCGTTCCTGAACCACTTAGGCGTAGCTCGGCGTTCAGGAAGGAAAGCGATTTCATTCGTCTTTACAAATTATTGCATAGATTTCGGGAGGATGTATCCAATATTCAGCATGGCATAAAGCCAATTTTGGTAATGACGAGTTTCTCTCTCTTTGTGGAAGTTGAAAAACTTACTGATATAATTAATGACTCTATAACGGTATATTTACCATTTCGGGAGGTACAGGGCTTCTCATATGTCCTCCTCATCGATCCTTCAAACTCCCTGTTTAACTACACCTTTGCACCGTCTCAAATGAAATCTTCCCTTATTTTGCAACAGTTATCGAGGCGATATTTGATGGATATGTATATTTCAAAGAATTCTACATCCTTCTAAATAAGGCCTCACCTACGCGAACCTGATGTATAATCCACATTTCCCATAGCGCGACACCAGAAGCAGACTGGACTTGCCAAAACTGGACTTGAATGTTCTTCCAGTTTATAGAGCTGGAATCACTGGAAAAGGAATCCGAATTTCTATACTGGACGATGGCATAGAATATACGCATGATGATCTCAAAGGAAATTATGTAAGAAAGTTTGTTTTTCATATGTGAAAGCTGAGAGTCCACTAGCATCACTGCACAAGTGTTTTCCTTCTTGAATTTTTACAAATCGACATGTTCAGCCAAAATCATTCATAAATATTTGATGATTATATTATACACATCTAAAATTCTTGTGACGTCACAGTTATATTGTGGTTACAAAAATTAAACTGAATAGTTGTTATCATTGCTTTTAATGACTAGGCAACCGTCTAATACCTATAGAAACGATTTCAATAGACTTCTGATTTTCTGAATAAAAAAATCTATATGCTCCAGAGAGCAGTGGTCCAAAGTACGACCCTTGGGGCACCCCACAGAGCCGATTCAAACTACCAACTATAATATGATCTGAATGACTGTCCCATTGTATTTCAGGATCCCGATATAAGTTGGGACTGCAATGAAGACGATGACGATCCATTTCCTAGGTATGATTACACAAAAAGCAACAGCCATGGCACCAGATGCGCAGGCGAAGTAGCAATGTATGCAAACAACGGAAAGTGTGGAGTAGGAATAGCCTACAACGCGAAAATTGGGGGTAAATATCAGAGAATAGAAGGGGTTGATGGATGATATTTGGCTACTACACCATTTTTAAATATGGCCTCATCTCACGGAATATTTTTGAGATATTTTTTACCGTTTTTTCCCATTCTCCTTCTAGACGTTAGTTCATGTGTATATAGCCCTTGTGTTTCTTCCATCTCATTTTCTGTGTGAAGAAATGATTGATTTTAATTTTTTACTTATTTTGATTCGTTCGAGGAGAGCTTGATGCTTCCATATTCTTCTTTAATCGTTTTATAGTCCATGTCCTAAGTCTACATCATATTTTCATAAAAAAAGCTCAATCAAGCTTTGAAGATATAATTTATAGAATATGGCAGAGACCCCTTTACAGGAGATCTATATCTTGGGTAACCTCGTCTGTTACTTGCCTCCTAGTCCTATCCTGAATGTCTGAGGAAGCCTAGAATTTTTGGCAGAAGCGACATATCCCTGTCTGATGTGGTTCCTGTGGAAAGGCATGTGATAAGGTTAATCTCTGATAATTTTAGTAGAGGATCCGAAGTACTTCGGGTCTTAGACTATTATCTGACTGCACAAGTCTTCGTTCTCAATCTTTGATGTCAAGAATAGTTTTTTTTATGTTCTGGTTCCCACGAAAACGGATATCCTGTAATGTTCAGAGAACATCGTGAGAACCAAGGGAAATAAGGTGTTCTTCTTGAATTTCTGGAGGTTATATGCCTCGAGGAACACCTCCCTTGGCAATGTGTTCCAGAGCCTTGCTGTTCGTTGGATGAACGAGTCTTTTGAGAGAGATGTTCTACAGGTCTCCAAAGTGACCACGGAGGTGTGCGAAGCCTCAACTCGACGGGTTAATCTCGCGGGGACTGCCAAGGGATGAACAATTGTAGATATTTCAGAAGAGCATCGTCCATGAAAATATCTATAAAATAGAGCCAGATCGCCAACTCTTCTACGGTGTTCCAGAGAAGTGAGTGAGTTTGTGAGCGAGGCATCACCCACGAGACGAATTGCCCTTTTTTGGACAGAATCCAACAGTTTCAGAGTATGTTTGGGTGCTGCACTCCAAATATGGGAACACTATTTCAGGACAGGTCGTATCTGTGCCTTATAGATCATGAGCAGTTGACTGGAAGTGAAATAGCTCCTGGCCCGAAACAGAAAACCAAGTTTTTGGGATGCGCTTTTAGCAGTTGATCTCATGTGATTTTCCCAAGAAAGGTTATTACTGATAGTAATACCAAGCATCGAAATGGATGTCTTCAAAGGTATGGTAACTCCTGACAGTGAGATCGGATTTTCTAGAGAAAAGGCATGCTTGTGTTTTGTTTGCATTGAAACCTACCAAGTTATTGGATCCCCATTCGAGAATTGTTGCCAAGTCCATATTTATGTTGTCAACATTTCTTCCTCGTTCGTTTCTGATTTGCCTGGCTGGTATCAGAACCCTGGAGGAGAAGGCGGTATGGAGGGTACTATCATCCGCGAAGCTGTGTACTGGATATCATCCATCAACCATTTCAGGTAACATGACTTGGCATCAGTAGCAAATCAGAAATGGGTATTTCATTATGATTGCAATTTTTTAACGAATGTTTCAGGTGTTAAGATGCTAGACGGTTTGGTGACAGACAGAATCGAAGGTACCGCCTTGAGTTACGCCCAGCACTTGGTCGATATTTATAGTGCCTCTTGGGGCCCTAACGACGACGGAAAAACAGTCGATGGGCCAGGAAGATTGGCCTCCGAAGCGATAAAACGAGGAATTGAAGAAGTAGGCAAACTAATCATTCAATTGAGATAAATTAAATTACAGAGTCATCCCTCTCCAAAAACAATTTTCGCATTGTTTCCACATATCTACTTGGTGACATGTTGGTTAGATGAACAGAAATATTGATACCTTCAGGTTCCTGGCAATTCTTATAAGCCTCCTGCTCATCAATCCCAATACCAGAACTAGGCAGGACATCTGAAAAATATCACAGTTACATCGTTTGAGTAATTGTGTTCAAGAAAAAATAGTCAAGCTATTGACTTTTACAAAAAAATATTCACATATGTGATCGATTAATTACTTTCTTCACCAAGAAAGTCATGCACAGCCTCTTCGTTCTCATTATCCAGATCGTCGTCATAGTCGGAATACATCTGACTGCTGCTGCAAATATTCCTCACAGCATTTGCACATTTTGGAACAGAACAACCCGGCATTTTTGCAGCCGCAGTTTCGTTTACAATCTTGTATGCATTTGCAGGCAACAAGATGCAACAGCTTGTCTGGTGCACACGGTTGTATGATTGTTTTTGGCATCAATCTGTTGTTTCTCAAGTACCATCTCCGAAGCAAAGGGTTTTTGCTGTTTCCAAGCCATGCAAGAACTTGGTGATATACCCTGCGGCAGTGCTGGTTTGCAGCGGACTCTGTCGGAGGTATCGTAGCAATATTGAACCTCGTCTTGAATGCAGACTTTACATATTGCTTGTATCATTCAGCATTGAGTGATGCTTCAGACCTTGAATCACCGTAGAGAGCGACGAGGTACCACTCTCCAGATTGTTGAATGGATCGCGGACAGAGTTTTTGAAGGTCTTCAGAGTGGTTCCAAGAGCAGGGTTGCTCATGAGAGTTATGACGAATTCAGTTTTTGCCTTGCTATAAAGCGCAGATGTCGTGTCCCAACCACTCATAGCATGCAGAAACAGAAAATGTTCTGCTACAAGCGGTGTAACAGCGTTGGGTGCGTGGTAAAATTTCGATTGCACATTCTTCCTCCCAGGTTTCAGGTAATAGACATCTGAATCTGTAGGGAGCCCAATCATGACCACCAACAAGTCAATGTCTTCGCCTACAATCACTACCTTGTCAAATTTATATGAGACTGTTGGCAGTAGTAACTATGCGATAGTCTGCATCTTCTGTCGCCCATGATCATCAAACAATCAATCAGTCATTTTATTTTCACAGGGACGGAAAGGCAGAGGTACAATTTACGTATGGGCGTCTGGAAACGGAGGGAACAATAACGATAACTGCAACTGCGATGGTTACTTAGCCAGCCCTTATACGGTTTCCATAGGAAGTGCTTCGCAGAAAGGGGAATTCCCATGGTATGGTGAGGCATGTGCCTCCACCTTAGCTGTGACCTACTCTTCGGGAGCTTACAAGGACCAAATGATCGTAAGAGAATATCAACAAGCTATTCATTTTTCCATCATTAAAACCGCATTAGAATTTCTTCATAGTTAGTTAGTGTAGCAATAGGCGAGTAAACTATTTTTTTTATTTCTCAAATAGAATCAGAACTCAAATACCTTTCGATTTCCAATTTTTTTAGAATTTCCCGGTCGATTTTTAGGTGCTAAAATCATCAATAATGCCACGGTGATTTTCAAACAAACAGAAATTTACCGCGAGTAAAAACTGATTGGGAACTTCAGAAATATTAGTTATTCAAACATTAATAAATTCTCAATTATCAAAGAAACATTCTGTCTTGCATCAGCTTTCCCTAGATCTCTTAGTCTTGACATTATAGGTTTATTACTATCTGTCAGTGGAGAATTACAGGTGTTGCGATAGCCTACAGAATTCTGATATGGTGTCTTGTCTCTTCTGTAAGCATATAGACGTAGGGGTCTATATGCACGACATACTCGCAAGGTATGATTGTTGAATCTACTTATACACCTATGGACTTAAGCCACTAGATGGCTATGAAGGCTAGATCATCCTTCTGCCCCCTCAGGGCTTCGACTTGTGTATTAATATCTCGTCTTTCATAGCTATTGTTCTAGATTTAACTGTATATATTTCCCTATGCTTGGGATTTTGCTAAGGCTTTCGAGGTACTTGGTACGAGGCCCAATTACAGTTCCATCTTCAATTTTAGAGCCATCTCTGTACCACTTTATGGTTCCTTCTTTGAGTTAATAACCAGGAATCGCAGGAATCCACTGTTCCATTATTTTTTGAAACTCAGCCTGGTGCTGACTTTTGGACCTTTTCTTCTATTATGTGTACTTCGAATGAGTACGGTGCTTATATGAAGTTCTTCTTCCTCTGAGCTAATGAGTCTCCTGAGACGTCATGTGGAATGCCTTGCTAGAATTCTCTTCAGTAGACAAAGATGTTTCCAGATTTTCGGTTATAATCTCTCTAAAGTAGGTATTCTAGTGTTCCTAGGAATTTAGGTTCTATTTAGATCTCTGTTTAATTTCTTTCAATATTAATTTCTTCCGATATGATATCTACTGCAACTTCCACAGGAGAGTTACCTTCCTATAAGAAGGGTTTGATCCCGTCTTCTGCCATTTCACTTCCTCCCACTCAGGAATGGTCCTGATTCCATAAAAGTCTGACTGTATTTGCATTCCATTGGCTAGCTGCTATGTCAGTTTTCACGGCATAAAAATAGTTCTTCTTTTAACTGATCTGCATCTATCTGGAAAGCATAAATTTCCGCTTCGATGATACTTCAATATTTGGCAAGGCTTTCGACTAGGTTGCAAGCTTGCGAACATTCTGATTTCGACACATAACAAAGTTTTTATTGTTTCAGACAACTACGGATTTGAATAATGCTTGCACTACCAAGCATACTGGGACGTCAGCTTCTGCTCCTCTAGCAGCAGGAATAATAGCATTAGCTCTGGAAGCAAAGTAATTCATTGACCAAGCGTCACCTGCATAGTTTGAAATTCCGATTTTTTAGTGCCAATTTGACTTGGAGAGACGTGCAGCACCTGATAGTGTGGACCTCGGAACTTGCACCGTTGGTAAATAACCAAGGATGGCAGCAGAACGCTGCTGGGTTCTGGTTCAATGACAGGTTCGGTTTCGGTTTGATGAACTCTTTTGGCTTAATCAGTGCCGCTCTGACTTGGACCAATGTTCCAGAATGGAAAACTTGTGAAACTTTAGTTCCCAGCAAGTAAGTCATAATGAAAAATCAAGTCACAAGACGCACAAAGCCTACCTAACGTCAAAAATCAATAGTATGTAATAATTATCAGGTACTGGAGTTGAATGTATACGACTTGAAATTATCACTGGCCTCAAGACTGAACCTTGTGGCGCACATTTTTCAAATGCATTTTCTTTACAGGTCTATCAATTCAACGTTGACTGGTGAACATCCTGTGGAAATTTTCATACCTACGACAGGTTGTAAAGGAAGTGACCAAGAAATAAGGTATCTAGAACATGTAGAAGTCAGAGTTAATATACAATTTTCCATTAGAGGAGCATTGCAAGTACATCTGGTGTCACCCTCAGGTAAACACAGGAAAAAATATTATGAATGAGAGTCAAGAAAAATTCTAAGAAAAAAACAGAACTTTCTTTTGATGAAAATGTTGCGCCAATCAATATAACGTATTCAATAAATTATAATAATCTAATTGAAAGTACTATGGTATAGCACCACAAGCATTGGGCTAAATTTCTTCAAAGTGAATCCAACGCTTCCATTTATCGCAGTTGTTCAATCCTATATTACTAAAAGAAGATTTTGAAAAAGTGAAGCACCACGTCCAAAAATGAATATTGCCAGTACTAAGTACATACAGTACTTGAGTGCTTCAGATACTACAAAGAAGCACTTTTATCCAGCAATCTAAGAAAAACGCCATGTTGATTTGAATCAATAAATGATCAGGTTGATGCAATGATTATTCAAAATAATGTTATAGGAACACAGTTGAAACTGTTGGCACCAAGGAAGCTGGATCAGAGTGATAAGGGCTTCAAGGACTGGACGTTTTTGTCAGTGATGACGTGGGGAGAACCTGCTGAAGGGGTCTGGACATTAGTAGTGTCTGACGCAGTAAGTACAACACTTAGTATACCATCCAGTCTAAATTTGGTTGTAATAACTTCAGCAATTTTTGTTGATCTCAAAAAAGTTTTGGATACAGTAGACCACAAAAGACTTTTGGAAAATTTAGAATCAATGGGACTCAGAGGCATGATAAGGAACCTTTTAGATTCGTATCTTCAAAATAGGGACAATCAGTACCAAATCTGCTAACTCAGAGTCTCATAGACTACCGATGACTAGAGGTGTCCCTCAGGGATCTGTTTTAGGACCAATCTTATATTTATTATATATGTATTCAAAATATCACGAAAATTGAAACAGAAAGTAATTACACTATTTATGCAGACGATACGGTACTTTTATATGAAAATCGGGCTACCAGCCACTCCCGTATGGGAATTTCAGTTTTGGAGTGATTCTTTCCTCGGTTCTACTCAGATGGCGTTACTTTCATTTTGTCGATGAAAGACGCCTCGGGGTGGATATAATGCCAACTTGATTTTTGTTTGGCTAGGCTTCGCTGAGTCGGCGGTCTTAGGACTGCTGGCTGGAGAGACTACACTGCACTGATGAGAGTCAAAGAGCTCGAAACCGGTCTGTGGTTGTCTAGCGGCCTGGCTCAATCGAAATCAATAGGCATTCAGGAAAGAATCACTTGTATCAGTATTCGTTTATACGAATACTGATACAAGTCGATGCATAGATTTCGGGAGGATGTAATTCAATATCCTGCGTGGCATTAGCCAGGAAAGTAGTTGTTTTTCTCCCGAAATCAATTTATGAACACTGTGTGGAAATGACTTTGAGCTTTTTGCATTTATTTAGAAAAATAGTTATTTATTATACAAGGAAAAAAGTTGTAGATTTTAGCTCCAGTTGTGTTGTCTCCCGATGCGTAGCGGATTGACCCAAAAAACCGTGAGATAAAATCTAATATTTTTCCCGTGTATAATACACTATTTTTTTCTGTGACAGAAAAAAAGGCGAATCAATATTGAGAAGATATTACATTATTTGGAAATCTGAAAATTATCGACATGAAATTTTAAGTTTTTAATAGTAGGGACACCTGTGCTGTGCGCTTCTTTATCATTCTTTTGAAGTAATCAAATATCTGATGTAACTTTTGTTAGTCTAATTATGTGATTTGATTTCAAAAAATTGCGAATTTAGTGGTTGTTTAGTAATACAGGGTGATTCACATAAGAACCGACATAGAGCAGGGGCATGTAGGAGGTCCCAAAATATGGCAATTTAACGCAACTTACCTCTATGCCAAGTTGCTTCCCTAAGGAGTTACAGGCTTTGGAAGTGAAGTTATAAATTTTGAAAAAAATCAATATCTCCGTTATTCTTGTACTTAAAGCAACCAAATTTGGTACACTTTGTGGATGTATTTGGGGTGTTACTTGATAGTAACTAGAGCTTAATTGAAATTTGTAAAGGGGGTATACCGGGTGGCGCACCATTAATATTCAACAGAATTTTGTTAACCCTCTATAGATTTCAAAAATATTTGCTTTGTTGTGTGGACAATTCAATTCTAAAACTTTTCTTAGTCTAGTAATTTTTCGAGAAACCTCATCATTTTCATCAAAAACTCGAATAACTGAAAACGCGCGCTCTAGGTGTGTTATTTAAAATCATCGAAAATTCAAAAGTTGGCTATGAAAATAAACGTACAACAAGAAAGTAGGTCATTAATTGTGATCAGTAGAAATTGGCAGGCAAATTATTATTTAGATACGTAACAAAATACGTGAAGTAAGATACTGAAATGTGAAAAACTGGGATTAACAACCAACCAAAATAAACACAAAAAACTTAAACAACAACCAGAACAAACAACTGTTTATAGATAAATCACTTAATTGAACAATTTACTCGCTTCATTGTCAAGTTTGACGTTTATTTTCATAGCCAACTTTTGAATTTTCGATGATTTTAAATAGCACACCTAGAGCACGCGTTTTCAGTTATTCGAGTTTTTGATGAAAATGATGAGGTTTTTCGAGAATTTACTAGACTAAGAAAAGTTTGAGAATTGAATCGCCCACAAAACAACGAAAAGATTTTCAAAATCCATCAAGGGTTAACAAAATTCTGTTGAATATTAATGGTGTGCCACCCGGTATACCCCCTTTACAAATTTCAATTAAACTCTAGTTACTGTCTAGTAACGCCCTAAATACATCCACAAAGTGTACCAAATTTGGTTGCTTCAAGTTCAAGAATAACGGAGATATTGATTTTTTTCAAAATTTATAACTTCACTTTCAAAGCCTATAGCTCCTTAGGGAAGCAACTTGGTATAGAGGTAAGTTGCGTTAAATTGCCATATTTTGGGACCCCCTACATGCCCCTGCTCTATGTCGGTTCTTATGTGAATCACCCTGTATACGTAACCGCGAAGTCGAACGGAAGATAAAAGGACTTGCAGTTCTTTCTCGGAGACGGTATTATTGACTCATTTTTCGGAACTATAGCACAACAAAAGCCATCAACAGTGTATATATAAAAAAATCTTTTTTCTGTGACGGAAAAAAAGTTTGGCATTTCATATCTGTTGGCAGGTTATAAAATGTCACTTTTCATAAATTACTTTTTTCCCGTGGGAAAAAAGTGAGTACTTTTTTTCCGGATATATATCACATATAATAATATATACACTGTTGATGACTTTTGTTGTACTATAGTTCCGAAAAATGAGTCAATAATACCGTCTCCGAGAATGAACTGCAAGTCCTTTTATCTTCCGTTCGACTTCGCGGTTACGTAAATTACTAAACAACCACTAAATTCGCAATTTTTTGAAATCAAATCACAGAATCAGACTGACAGAAGTGACATCAGATATCTGATTACTTCAAAAGAATGATAAAGATGCCTACAACGCAGATGTTTCTACTGTTAAAAACTTGAAATTTCACGTCGATAATTTTCAGATTTCAAAATAATGTAATATCCTCTCAATATTGATTCGTCCTTTATTCTGTCACAAAAAAATGGTGTATTATACACCGGAAAAATATTAGATTTTAGCTCACGGTTTTTTGTCTCCCTCCGCTACGCGTCGGGAGACAACACAACCTGGAGCTAGAATCTACTACTTTTTTCCCTTTTATAATAAATAACTAATTTTTGAATCACATAAAGTTACGAAATTATTTTATGAAAATTAAAAAAACAGAGAAAATAAGTGTTTTGTGTAAACAGGGGCCCTGTACCCCGATAAGCCAGTGGAATCGGAGGAGGGGGGGGGGAGGGGGAAGTTTTCGTTGGTACAGCGAATATGTTTGATTGCAGACTAAGAACGAACGAAATTTCGGAAGCATCGGCGATACGACACTGATTCTTCATGGTACCACGGAACTACCATTCCACATGAAAAAAGGCGCAAGAAGTTACAACGAGAACTACAACAGAATACAAAGCCGGGTGAAAACACCCCATCAATCGTTCGTGGAGAAAGAGGTCTATATACCTAACAATGACGTAGGCGGGGCACCTGGAGATAGCTGGAAGAACGAGTATTTTCCTTATCAGTTTTTCAATAAACGAAATGTATATCATTGAAAACCAGTTATAAAATGGATATGTAAATATGTTCATGAAAAACTTGCAATTCATCCATGTAGGTACTGTATAGTAATAGTAAATATCCGAAATAAATTAATAAAGTGATAAAGCGACTGAAATAAGTGTGTCATTTTATGGCACTCATCTTTATGTTGCCATGAGGATTCCCGATCTATACTCTCTTTATTTTTATCTTAGATCAAAAAATGATCGAGTATTACTGCACTTCATTTGCTTGATTTCTAATGATAGATATTATCTGCTGATGTATGTACTATGTAGTGTAAAATTATTGCACAAAAGGATTCAATTTCCTGAAATTTCATATTTGTCGTAAATCGAACAAAAAAAAACAATAACCAAGTCACCTTCATCGTCAAATACTTTTTTCATCTAGTCAAGATGCGAATATTCGAAGATAATATTCATATTATCTATTTTTTTAGCTGTGGGTTGTCTTCTCTGTTATCCGCAGTAAGTATTCACTCCAGAAAATTCAATCCGTATTCTGATTAACATGACAATCGGAAATATTCTGGCACTTGTCTATCAGAAATTGATACGTAAACCGAATCTTATATGGTGTTCTCTGATGATTGCGTCACGTGAATCTCAATAATCACTCAAAAAAGTTACAGAGCTCTGAGGAAAAAACGATTTGCGACAGTGAATTAGGAATAGTACTTCGAAATAATGGAATAATTTTTTTCTCTAAAACAGGTCCATTGTAATAAGTTAACATAACTCAAAATTTGGATACCAATTGATATAAATTGAACCAAAAAATTTTACATTTCTATTTAAAATAAAAAAGTTGATTCATACTATGGGCACACCCTGTATAGCTGGAGAGCCAAAAATATGTCAGGTTATTAATTAAAAGTATATACAGGGTGTTGCGAAATTCGACTGACAACGCTTGACACGTGATAGCCCTCGTGATTTCATAATCACTGAGATAGGGACATACGGTCTTCAAGTGTTCAGTTCTCGAGATACAGGGCGTTGAAGTTAAGAAATTAAAATAGTTTTTTTCGCAATATCTCAAGAAAAATTGAATATAATGCATTTGAATTCAATATATAATAAGGCTAACGGTCCTGAGCTTATCAAATATCTGGAGAGCTCAGGAATCATCAATGATAGACAATACGGCTTTCGCCACCGAAGATCTACTGGAGATCTACTTGCCTACGTCACCCATTTATGGCAAACTTCATTAGAGAAACACGGGGAATCTCTAGCTGTCGCGTTGGACATATCGAAAGCATTCGACCGTGTTTGGCACGAAGGACTCCTCCACAAATTACCATCATACGGCTTACCACCTCAGCTATGCCGCCATCTCTTATCGAGTTTTCTTTCAAGCAGATCGCTTCATGTGGTGGTGGACGGTATATCGTCTGATACCATTGGCATCAATTCCGGCGTTCCACAAGGATCAATTTTGGCACCAACATTATTCCTTCTTCATATCAATGATCTGTTGGGAGTAACTACTTGCCCCATTCACAGCTTTGCAGATGATAGTACCCTCCATACTGCGTTCTCTTCCAGAATTCCTATTTCTTCCCAGGAAACTACCCAGCAAACATGATTTTTGCGGCCCTCTTAAGGTACAATGAAACTTGCCGGCGAGCGGTAACAGTGGTCCTCTATTGTACAACTAAATTGGGCCGGCTAGCCCGTGTCCCGGCGGCCGACAGCCGACCGCCTCACTAGAGCCATCAGTATGCCACTTATTACGTTGCAGGGCTTCTGGTGGGCAGAAGCAAGTACTCAAATATACTGCATTCATGGCATATCTTCGGCCCGATTGAGACTTTTCAGAGACTGCCATTAATTGGCCGCTTGAGTATTTTCATTCCCCCGATAGAGGAGTTTTTCAGGGCCGTTGGTTAACGGGGTTGAATGAATTCAATATTCATAGTATTCTGTTTTTTGATGTCCCATTTTTCAACTAGGTTTGTCAAAGATTATACAGGGTAATGCACATATCTCAGTGAAAATAGGTTTTTTGATAGGCATTCCAGTTTATATCACCACTTGGAAAGCAACGTATCTCATTTTCACTCAGATTTGCATCACTCTCTTTATTTTCAAACTGGTTAAGAAATGTGGAACTTCAAAAAACAGAATTGAGGTCTCCGAGTTTGTTGTGAATCCTATGGGTAAAACAGAAATGTGGAATTCACTCCTTACCTGAAGTTATTGAATAATTTCATGAAAATCTCTGAGATGGCATTCTGATATCACAGTTATTTCCAGGAAACTAGCAGTATAAATACCCCATACAAAAACAAGAACTGAAAATATCCATGTGTGTATGTTATTACCATGATCACAACCAATACATATCACAACTATGGAAACATCAAACATCTTGATTCTAGTTCTACGTATCACTCTGTATACTCATTGTTTCAAAAAGTTGCTAACTCTAAGTCAAAAATTACATCACCTATGTACCTACCGAATAACTTGAAAGTTATGTAGGTAATCAGTTATTATATTGATCAAGTTATTGTCAACAATGGAGTTCAATCTACAAGAAAACAATTTCCAGATATGGAGAACCTTACTCTTCATTATATTGATATGAGTGTTGCCTGGAAGTGAGATATCATATACCATGAAGAAATTCATATCATATAGTCTGGATCATTGTGTGATTTCTTCATTAATATATGTGATTGATGGGCTTCTGGTTGTTGATTCTGTAGCTGAAAGATTGAATGATTTCATTCTCTACTAATCCAAAACATGCAACCTTATACATACCTACAGTATTGAAATATAACTGTTTCTTCGAGTAGCTATCTTTGATTTTCGTTTCGATTCATATGTAATGGAAGCTCATGCATCTTCAAAGTCCTCAATTATTATATTCTTGTGTATCCGCTGAACACGTCCAAACTATTATTGCATCTGTTTGTCCAATGGTGTTTGTTGAATTATTATCTAAAATAGAATTATTTAGCTGTGCAAGTTTGTATATATGTTTGTTCCTCACTCACTCTGTATTTATTTCAATTCCCTTCTATTTTGTATAAAAATCCACAAGAAAACCAAACACGAACTGAACCATAACTGAACACAGTACTAAAATCTAAAATCTATTTTGAGAGTGATGAGACAACATAAACAAAGAAATCAATATACGCCATACTGAATCATTGTTACCACTGCAGAATGATCGAAATAAAAACTCACGCGAGCGAGGGATGCCAACGTTAAGTGAGTGATGATGGCACACTCCGTTGAAATTTTGATGGCCCTTTGACTTGGATACATACATCGGAAAACTAGCGACTGGGAAACAGAGGCCTATCATAAGTATGTGTACATTCTGCCTTCGTCACATAATCCTTCGAAAATATTTGGAGGGCCTTTCGAGGCATGCCGACATCGACATTTGCCCGCCGTTCTCGCCATGGGCCCGGCTTTCTACCGCCTTTCGATGTTTGCTGGGTAAGAACTCACGGCGCAGGCAGGTCAATGCTGTCAATGAAGACCTTGCTGAAATCACAGCCTGGGGAACCAACAACCTAGTTGAATTCAACGCCACCAAAACTCAAGCCTGTATTTTCTCTAAAATGGCGGAACTCAGTATGCCCGACATTGCAATGTCTGGCACCACCATCTCCACCAAGCCCACCATATCTATGCTCGGTATTTCCATCAGCAACACTCTTTCATGGGAAAATCATGTCAGATCCATCGCAAAAGCTGCTTCGGCGACCTTTCACTTTTCTATCGATACTTCCACGGAAAATGTGCTTCGGAAATCTCTGCTATCATCCCTTTACTAGCAATGCCAGTCAGACGAAGTAGACAAGCCCAGTCAGCACATCCTTTCGTTGTCAACTTCGAAAGATGTCGAACAGCACTTTATCAAAACTCCTTCATCCATAGAACGGCTAGGCTCTGGAATTCATTGCCTGAGGAAGTATTCCCAACAACATATAATCTTCAGCAGTTCAAAAAAATTCCACGATGTTCTTTGAACATTATAGGGATTCCCTTTCGTGCGCTCCAAGCGATAAAAAAATGGTTTTATCATTTAATGGTTAATTTTTTGACCAGAAAGACAATCCGAGAATTTTATCCAGAGGTGCGATACAGAGGGTTGTGATAACTTTTCCTACCATATTTTCTACGCCACTGATGCACAGTAATTTCTCATCTTCCTCAGTAGTAGAAAATTACAAAAATTTTGGTTGTCTCTTTATGCGTGGAATAACTATTTCTGATGTTCAGCTACAGAATGAGATCTGAATAGTATCTAATCTACTCAACACCAAAAAAATATTTTTGCAATTTTCTATTACTGAAAATGATGAAATATTACTATGCAATCTTCTATTTTGGGTCGAATATCTCGAAAACTGTTAATTTCAGCTCAGTTGAAGATGATGTATTTTTTTAACAAAATTGACCAATGATTTCGAGGAATTGGAAGTAATCGAATTCAATCTGTGGCGTAAAAAATATGGGAGGAAAAGTTGCCACAACCCCCTGTAGGGCACCACTGGATAAAATGTCCAGAATGGCTTCCTGGTCAAAAAATTACCCATTCAAAGATGAAACCATATATCGAAGTTGAATGCATAATATTGAATTTTTCAACAACTATTTTTATTTTATAACTTTAACGCCCTGTATCTCGAGAACTGAACATTTGTCCCTTTCTCAGTGATTATGAAATCACGGGGGCTATCACCTGTCAAGCGTTGTCGGTCGAATTTCGCAACACCCTGTATTATAGCTTCATCGCTCATTATATTAATTTATCCATGACAATGCAAGAAATTTCAGCTTATCTCCAATTGTAATAAATCGTTTTATAATTATGACCAAATGACATTCAAGATGACAGTATTAGGTGTAAGTGTAATAGAAATTAAATACACTGATATAAGCTACAACCTCTACAACCTTATAAAAGAATATCTATGCGGTTTCCTATGAGTCACTATTTCAGTGCATTCGAGTTGGTTTAGTCGAACGCATCAGTTCACAAACGTGGTATTTTTAGTGCTGGAGGGAAAATGAGGTGAATATTCGAAAATCATCTATACTTTATACGATTATACACACATAATTCAATGATTACCCATATTTTGATATCATATTGATTATAATTTGTGCGCATGCTTTGAATTTCCATTGATTTCAAAATATCCGAAGAGTATTCAAAACATACATAGTAAGGTTATGAAGTTTGTATAGTCGATATACCTCTGTTTTGTTCCTCGAGATGTGTGAACCAGTGGCGGCTCGTGACTTTCATGACAGAGGAGGCTGAATGATATGAGATTTATTGTGAAAAACAACTCACTACTCACCCAAATCAATAGCTTCAATGACATTCTGCTTACCAGTTAACCTGAACTTAATACTCGAAGAGATGTGTTCCTGTGATTTGCAGTGTCTATCCTATCCGCGAGGCAAATTTTTCAAATCATTATATCGTAATCGCCCCCAACATGATGACTTATCGGTTGAAAATAATACGCAGTACCAACAAAATAGCTTATTTCTTACCTCAGATCCCGTCAACCAGATATATTTTTTATAACTATCAGAATTGAACGAACGATTCTGTTTGTTACCTGTTACAATCAGATTTTTTAATTCCGGTGTCGGACGTTTGTTTTTCACAATCAATTCATCTTCATAAGACAAAGCACTGAATGGGTTCACCAAAAAGTATTCCACTAAATCGCAATCGTTTAAAATACTCATTTTTCAGAAATTTTTAGAGCCCCTAACCATTAAACTAACATAAACATAAACAATGCACTCGCGTTTGTCCGCAATTCGCGAAGCGACACGACAAACACGTGCTATTCGTGCGTATTCGAGCATTTGCATTGTGCGCGTAGGTTTCGCGGTGTGAAGGAGTCTAGCCTCCTATAGATGTTGCCAAGTTGAATATTTTACGCGTGATTTGCAGACTTCAACGTGTGATGCGTGGGCAAGCACTGTTGCCAATTCAAAAATATTTAACTAAAAACAGGAAATGAGATCAAAATCCATGTATTTTGGTGTCCTTTCAATGAGAAAGTATAGATAATATTAGTTTAAGGAAAATCTCTGAGGAGGTTCAGCCTCCGTTGCCTACTCTGAGGAGCCGCCACTGGTGTGAACATATACAGGGTGTTTCATAATTGAATGCTGATCCTAAAACATGAGAATATTCGTTAGACTGTATCATATCGATTTGCTGAATATACAGGGTGTATCTAAATAACACCGAAAAAATTCAAGGGATGATTCCTTGTGATATTCTAGCGAATAAAGTTTATACAGGATGTTGAAGTTGGAAGTATTATTTGTTATTATTTATAACCCCCCTGCATAAGCTTTCATGGTTCCGAAATTCAGTATGGTTGGAGACTGAGAAAGACCCAAAATTTCGAAATGATTCTAATTGGGATTATTGAGTGATCCCAATAGAAGTCTTGAAAACACGACGTCTACATTAAAATTTGGAGTCAAATGAGTCAAATCGAATTTTTATTGTTTCCTCAAAAATTAAGCTAGATACAGAAATTACACAAAGGATAAAAAAGTTGTTATTTCGATAAATATCGATGAATTTACCCACTGTGACGCCACTGAATACATCATTTCGAATCTAATTGCACCAGAAGAAGTTCCATATTGATATCAACAAAACCACAACGTTTTATTGAAATTGAATTGGTTCAAAATTATTTTAGATATGGGCGCCCCATGTAAACCTATTTTATTTTTTCAATCCAAAACCGTTTGTCTAACGAAAAAAAAGTCAAGAGATTATTTTTATTAGAAACTTATACGAGATTACAAAACTGATTTTTATTATGACAAAAAACAGTGGCGTGCCATTTTTTAATGTAATAAAATTATATTATGGTCAATATCGCAACGATTCAAAAAAAGGTAGATGATAAATTATTTTCATTAAATTATAGAGAAATATATCCTCTTTCAAAACATATAAAAATTTATATACCATTACATTTGATTTTTTTGAAAAAACTAAAAAATTTGCTAACATTTCAGTTAACGCCATCTAGCGGCGACAGCAAAAGTCGACAATTCAAAACCAAATAAGCGTTTTGTAGGGCAAATTATGCTCTTTCATATTACCCCGAGTTTGCTGAAAAAGGTCGAAATAAACGGGAGAAATCTTGGTTTGTTTGAAAAAACAATTGAACTTCCCCCACCGCTTTATTTTGATAGCTAGAACAAAACATTTTTGACAAAAAATGTAGGGAAATGGTCAGTAAATATGAAAAAGATATCATCGACATACTTTCATAAGACAAAATTCTATAAAAATCCCATTTTTCTACTTGGTGTTGGTTGTTACGCCCTCTAGCGGACGTTAGACAAACTCGAAAACAATTTCCAGCAATTTCTCTTGGCGACTTTTATCATGATTTTTTTTTCTCAAATTTATACGACCAATATCTTATGAGATATGGCCGCTCGCAACCCTTAACTGAACACCCTCCCTAACAACACGGGATCTTGCTGGTACATCTCGCTAAGGTCCTACAAATGTCCCAATGTTTCAGACTTAGGTACGATATCCCAGAAATGTTTCTCATAGGACATCCATCAGATGTTTTCATTGGATGTTCTAGGAACATCCCATTTGATCTTTTTTTATAAACAATATCATGGTTCCATATTCGCTAATGATGATTGACATGATTGAATAGTTCAGACAATTGTGACGTTTGAAACATTGAAGAGTTGGTAAAAAATGGAAATCAAAACTGTATTCGTACTCATATACTTATACATATACCAAAGCCGGTTAATTTCATCGATAACAAATTGAAATAATTATACTAAATATTCCTCAATAGGATTACCTAAGTACCTGTTTAACATCATGAACCATGTAATAAACGACAAAATCGAAATATATCTCTCCAGCATATTTATTGCTGAATTTATTTGTTATACCAGCCGATAGATGGCGGTACAACTACGTTGCTAAGAGTTACTAACAGCCGTCGGCCCAGCGCCAACAAATATGAGCCTCAAACAACTGTTATCATCTTCCATTAGTTATTGGACCGCACCGACCTTATATTTTCGGATTCGGATTGTAACCTATTCATATTCTACCCAAATACTGGTTCAGTTTACAAATTTAGTTTGAGATTTTCCAATTTCCCTAACCCATACTCTGAACGGGAAAATTAATACAACCTTTCATATAAAAAACTGTATATTCTCTATTTTCTACAACATGGCGCTAGAAATACAATAACAACCAACAAACAAAAACGGATCGCTAGGCAACCCATCAAATAGGTAAGATTTAAACGGTGTCAGCAGGTCAAGGCCGACTAGGCTAGAAAATCAGTATTATGGCATGCGCACATTTACGCTGTGTTGCCAAATCATTGTATTATAAGCAGAAATGAGGTAAATACAAACATGCACCCCCCTTGAAAACTTGTCTTTCAATATGGGTATGAAATTAATCATTAAAAATTGGACATTATGGTAACGTTTTACCGAAATGAAAAACATTCATCAAAAACAATTAACAACATAGCAAAATATCTAAGTACTCAAGCCATGCCTATTATACTCAATTGTGTCCATAGGTAAAATACATATTTGACGTAGAGCTCTTTTAAAAATGCCTTTCGATGTTCTAACAGTCACTACTCGACAAATATTATCGTCGCCAACATGTGTTTTGATTATCCGTGCCAGTTGCCATTTTAACGGTGGTAAGTTTTCATCTTTAATCAATACCATGGTACCTTCTTTCACTGGTTCACCGAGGGTTTGCCACTTATGTCTTTGCTGGAGTTGAGTGAGATATTCTCGGGACCATTTTGCCCAAAAACTTTGAACAATCTGTGTCAAAAGATGAAATCGTTCCAATCTATTTGGATTAAAGGTTTTCATATCTTCTTGTGGAAGAGCAGTTAGTGCACTGCCAATCAAGAAGTGTCCCGGGGTGAGAACACCTAAATCTTGGGGGTCTTCGGAAAGAGGAGTTATGGGACGCGAATTCAAACATGCCTCTATCTGAGTCGTGACAGTGCAAAGCTCTTCAAATGTTAGTTTTTGATTACCAATAACCCGCCTCATGTGATACTTGGTAGATTTAACCGCAGATTCCCACAAACCACCAAAATGCGGTGATCTAGGCGGAATGAAATGCCATGTGATTTCTGACTGTACGAAATATTCAGAAAACGCCGATTTAGTTTTGGGATCCTGTAAGAATTTGTACATTTCCTTGAGTTCATTGTCAGCTCCAACAAAGTTAGTTGCATTATCTGAATAAATATTTCGACAAAGACCTCTTCTAGAAATAAACCTTTTGAAACAGTTCAAGAATGATTGAGTTGTTAAATCCCCAACTACCTCCAAATGTATCGCCTTGGTCGCAAAACATACAAAAATACCTAAATATGCTTTAATATAAATATGACCCCTGAGTTTACTAACTTTAATTTCAAACGGACCTGCGTAATCTACTCCGCAATTTACAAAAGGTCTGCTTGCAGTAACTCTAGTTTTAGGTAACTCACCCATTATGTATTGCACGTTGCGAGGCCTAGCTCTGAAACAAACGATGCATTTACGCAATATATTACGAATAATTCTACGACCCGAAATAGGCCAATATCTTTCTCTTATGTGTGCTAATAAGGCTAGTGGTCCAGCATGCAAGTGTCTATAATGTTCATGAATTATTATTAACTTGGTGAGTTTATGTTTCTCTGGTAGTAAAGCTGGATGTTTCTGTTCATATTCAAGATCAGCCTTAGATATTCTACCTCCTACCCGAAGAATTCCCTGCTGGTCAAGAAATGGATTGAGAGAAATTAATTTGCTTGACCTTGATAATTCCTTTGACATTTCTAATTGTCTTATGTCTGCACCAAATTCATCTAATTGTGCTAACTTGACGAGCCTTATTGATGCCTGCTGCAACTCCTCAACCCCTAGATTTTTCCCAATTTCAACAGTGGACTGTCCATTTTCTTTGACCTTAATTTTCCAACGTAAACAGTAAGCTATCACCCTTTGAAGCTTGGAAAAACTTGAAAATCGATCAAAAATGCTAAAAGATGATTTTGCTCCAAAAGATTGACGCACAATCCTTTTTTCTGGAATTTCCACAGATTCCACCCACTTGGATTCGGGCCAATCTTGCTCTTTAGCTATCAACCAATCTGGCCCATGCCACCAAATATGACAAACGCGGAGCTGATCACAATCTAATCCTCTAGATACAACATCCGCTGGATTGTCACTTGATCTGACATGATTCCAACAACGATCTTGACTGAGTTTCTGTATTTCAGATAACCATGATAGTACAATAGAAGAATCACACCAATATTGTATACCGCTGAAGCGTATATCCATATGATTCACTACCGAATCAACTAGTTTTGCTAAAAGCAATGCTCCACAGAGTTCCAATCTAGGTAAAGAGACTACCTTCAATGGAGCTACTCTTGATTTCGAACAGAGCAATTCAACATGATTTATTCCTTCAGAGTCAGTAGACCTCATATATACACATGCTCCATATGCTCGTTGAGAAGCGTCACAAAATCCATGCAATTGAATATCTATAACATTGCGACAAATTACACGCCTAGATATTTTTATTGATTTGAGATGCCCAATCTGATTCAAAAAAAGTTTCCACATAACATAAATATCATAAGGTACAGAATCGTCCCAACCTAACTTAGCCGTCCACAACGCTTGAAGAATTAACTTCACTTTAACCACTACGGGGCCCACCAGTCCTAATGGATCGAATATTTGTGACACAAGAGACAAAATTGATCGCTTCGAAACAATTTCATGAGAAGGTATATCGCTGCCAAAGTTTGCATCAAAATGTAGTATGTCTTCAACCGAGTTCCAAAGTAGTCCGAGAGTTTTCGAAGAACTACTGTCATCAACGAAATAATGATCAATATCATGATTTTTAGCCTTGTCCATATATATATCTTCCTCATTTGATAACCACTTCCTCAAAATAAATCCACCTTTTTGCAATATTTCACTGATCTCATTCTTCAATCTGCTTGCACCATCCACACTGTCAGAACCACTCAAAAGATCGTCCATATAAAAATCCCTCAAGATAACCTTACAACTCTCAGGGTATTCTTGCATATTCTCATAACCCAGCTGATGTAAAGATCGAACTGCAAGAAATGATGCGCTGGCCATACCGTAAGTAACCGTATTCAATCTGTAGACGCCGATATCATCATCAGGAGAAAACCGCCATATAATTCTCTGTAAGTCTCTCTGATCTTCTCTTACTAGAATCTGCCTATACATCTTTGCGATGTCAGCTGCTATGACTACAAGATGTTTCCTGAAACGGATTAAAATGGAAAAAATATCCTCTTGCAATTTCGGCCCTACCATGAGTCTGTCATTCAAAGAAACTCCACTGCTGGTAGCAGCACTCGCATCGAAAACTACACGGAGCTTTGTAGTCAATGATGTATCTTTGAATACTCCATGATGAGGCAAATAACAAATTTCAATATCCTGACCCTTAGTTTCCTGTTGATATGACACTTTGGACATATGCCCCAACGAAATATACTCTCTGATAAACTCCTGATATTCCTTTCGAAGAATACAGTTTTTTCTCAACTTACCTTCCAACTGATTGAACCTTTTTTGCGCAATATCATATGAGTCACCTAGTTTACCTACCCCTGTTTTGATTGGTAACGTCACAATGAATCTCCCTGTAGCATCCCGTTGTGTAGTTTCAATGTAAATTTTTTCACATTCTTCCTCCTCCCTTGTGAAAACCCGTTCCTGGGGGTATTCCTCCAACTGCCAAAATTTCTCGAGTTGTTCTTGGCAAGCAACTTGACCAATATTACATACCTGCACTTTTTCCTGCACCTGAACATCCCTCGAAACTGCCATAGGCCCAGCAACTATCCAACCCAGTTCAGTATCCTGAATAACCGGCATTCCATTACCCAATTTGATTCTGCCTGACTTCAAAAGGTCCCAGAAAACAGCAGCACCAAATAACAGATCAACCCGACCAATTTTTCCGAAATATTTGTCAGCTAATTTTATATGAGTTGGAATCGTGAGAGTCTTTGAATCCACAGAGAAAGAGGGAATATTATCAGAAATGTTATCAATCAATAAAAATGATTCGTCAAAACTGTATTCAGTACTATTTGAATGAATTTTAGCTTTCACGACATGAGTCACATTAGTAGCTACTTTACCAATTCCCAAGATCTTCAGATTCAATTTTTTCGACTCTAGATTCAACCTTTTTTCCAAAGACCTTGTCATGAACGAGGACTCGGACCCAGAATCAAGTAATGCTCGGCATTCATGCATTTTCCCAAATGAATCTTCAATTTTTACAGCAGCTGTTGACAATAAAATTTTATGTTCTGAATCGACCCCCTCATGTAACTCAATCCTCAAACAATTACTATGCCCGGTGAAACTAGAACCAGCCGTGGTATTAATTGAATCAGTTACTGTACCTCGAGAAATCAAACTTGCTTCCGTTTGTTTTTCCGCTGCTGAGCTATCCCTAGTTTCAGAAATGTGCAACAAAGAGTTATGTTTTCTACCGCAATGTCGACATCCCCTAGATATACAATTTTGTACTCTATGCCCTGGTTTCAAACAATTCCAACACAAATGCGCCTTACTTACCTCATCTCTTTTATCAGAGATACTCATAGCCAGGAATTTCTTACAATTTTGAATGATATGAGTAGGTGACATTTTGCAAATTGAGCAACATTCCTCCTTCAAAGCAGTAAATGATTTCAAAGTAGTGTGCGGTTTTTCAACCCTACCTTTATAATCACTCCCAGAGCTATTAACCGATTTCCTTAAATTCATGTCCATTGATTCCAAAATTTGACTCTTTTTTGTAAGAAAATCTAAGAACTCTGATAAAGTTGAAAATTCATTTAATTTTTCCTGTCTTTTCCATTCTTTTTTCGTAACCGTATCAAGTTTCATTTCTAACAAAAATATCAATAAAATATCCCATTCATTAACATTCACCTGTAAAGTATTCAAAGCCCGAATTGTTTTCCTTATTTCATTAATGAATTTCCTAAGTGACATATGGGACTCTTTTAATATCGGTGGAAAATTGTAGAGAGATTCGATATGACTCATAGCAATTAATTTTTTATTTTCGTAAGCATCTCTCAACAATGTCCACGCTTCCTGATAACTTGTGGCCGAAACTTCCAGAGATCTTATAATATCTGCAGCATTGCCCTTCAATGCGTTTTTGAGATAGTAAAATTTCTGGGTTTCATTTAGATGATTATTTGAATGAACAAGCGATGAAAAAATGTCATTAAACTCAAGCCACTTTTCAAAAGATCCGTAGAAAACCGGAATTTCCATAGTCGGTAAATTTATTCCACTAGTACCAGTGAGCCCTCCATTTGACATTGTGGTGTGCATATTTTGCGAATTTATTGGCATAGGCAATGTAGACAACAAACTCTTCAATCCTGAAATCAATGTAAAATATTGTTCTGTAAATGAGTCCCGTTCTTGCAACTGCTCAAGTGAATTGTCCAATTTCTCAATCTGAAATTGAATATTCTCGAATTCCGCCAACCAATCATCACATTTTGCAATTCTAGAAGGAATCTGCGGACTTTTATCAGGTGAATAAGTCGTCAAAAATGTCTTCAAACGCGTAAAATGTGATTTCAACACCCCCCGTTTTGCTATTAATTCATGCAGTTCTGCCATAATGAATAAAACTAATCAAAAAATATACCTACCTTTGAAGAACCTTATCACTTATAATAGAAACCAGATAGAAAACATGCAAAAATTCAAGCGATCATGCAAAAGCGAACCAAATACCTCTACTCTTGCTGGATATGATCCCGTATTTGCGCCGCTACTGATGTTGCATCTCACTCCTCCAATAGTCGCTATATTTGTGCAGTTCCTGTAGGTAACTATCAGCAGCTTCGAGGTCCGTTCTGCCCTTGGGAGTTGTAAAATGGCCCGTCCTTGCCGCCCTGCACCTATCTTCTTGTCATGTATTTGTATAAGTAGGCACTTATACACCCTGTATGCCGTCGTCCGCTTGCTGACTTCCCTTCTACGCCGATCAATTTTCCATGTTCCGTCCGAATAACGAAGTTCCAGTACGATGTACAATAATTTTCAAACCAAATTCTGCATCCAATCCCGATATGTAGGTACCTAGTACTGAACCGACAGCTTCCAAATCATCCAATGTATAATCCGGCTTCGATTAGACCAATATTCATATTCTACCCAAATACTGGTTCAGTTTACAAATTTAGTTTGAGATTTTCCAATTTCCCTAACCCATACTCTGAACGGGAAAATTAATACAACCTTTCATATAAAAAACTGTATATTCTCTATTTTCTACAACATGGCGCTAGAAATACAATAACAACCAACAAACAAAAACGGATCGCTAGGCAACCCATCAAATAGGTAAGATTTAAACGGTGTCAGCAGGTCAAGGCCGACTAGGCTAGAAAATCAGTATTATGGCATGCGCACATTTACGCTGTGTTGCCAAATCATTGTATTATAAGCAGAAATGAGGTAAATACAAACATAACCTAATATCTGAAAATAGGTCGTCCATTTTCAGGATTTCAGATTGAAAATAATTCATACCGTGTCGTCCATTACTGTCTTCAAACAAAAAACATCCTAGAAGTTTCTTTAAGATGTTCCATATCAAGTACCCTGAATGTCTCTGGTACATCCCGTATCATCCCACAAACATTCTGATGGGATGTTTATACGACATCGCAAATGCTGACAAGGGTGTTGCCAGCAACATCCCAAGAATGTCCCAAGGAGAATAGGGATTTTCCAGAGATGTTCCTATCATCCCATATGGATGTTTCTACGACGTCTTACAGATGTTATTGTGTTATTAGGCTGTACTTATTTCAAAAACACCTTGCATATTTTTGTAGCAATTCATATTCGATCAAACCCATAACAGAAGCAGTTCAACATGGTGAAGGACCTCATTGGGACCATGGGAATCAAATTCTGTATTTCGTGGATACCTTCAAAGCTACGATTTACAGGTGGAATTTTTGTTCTGACCACCTTTCATCATACAAATTAGGTAAGCAAGCATCTCATGGGTCCATAAATATTCTCAAATTTCACATACTCATCAGTGTGGTGAGAAATAAAATAGTAGATTGTTTTATTAGGATCAAAAGTGACACTTTGTTTGACAAGCTAATTTTGCATTTGCGAGGCGGAGCGTTTAGCGATGTATATCCATTTTTTCATTTTTTTTATGTTCATAATTTATCAAACTTGAACGATGGACACTTTTTTATAGACCTTCAATCGCAGATTCGTGATTAGGTTTTCTCAATTTAGAATTTCTTTCCAAGTCCTGTATAATGAATATTAATGTGTCATTCATCTAAAAATACAATTTCTTGAACTTCCAGAAAATCACAATTCAGTAGCAATAGTGATTCCCATCAAAGATAAAGAAGATGAACTTTTAGTGGCATCCGATAGAGATGTATTTGTACTGAAATGGCCCAATAAGACTAAAAACGACTATTCAAAAACGCATACCCCACTCACATTAGCCAAACTGGAAAGAGAAAAACCCAAAAACCAATTCAACGATGGTAAAGTAGACAGTAAAGGCAGACTTTGGTTAGGTAAGTGACTTATACAGGGTCGCTGATATGTATGGAAACAGGTGAATATCTCGGTAACCTGTTGTTGGATTTTTTTGAATTATTTATGTACTGTGTGATTTCAAAACGTTGCGGATTTGAAAATGTTTTAGCTTCTTTATTTTGGATGGAACATCCTGTACTTTATTGGATTTTCAGATTCTCCTTGAAGAGCTGATTCCATCGATCTATCATACTTGGGGTCCAGCGGCAATGATTACATAGGTATAGGGTGTTTAAAATCTAGATTTTTCATCTTTAGGATTTTTTTCGTGTCGAAACTATTCATTATCGATCAGAACCCTCGTCAGAACCGCTTCAACGTTCCTAACTTTACTTTTGATCTACTATCTACTGACATTCAAATTTGCTGAAGAATGAATGAGGATCTCAAAAGTAATTTTTTATTTTGAGAGAAAGCAGTGGAGTAGTATTTGTTGTGCGAATATCCAGAATCATAAAAATTTATGGATCTATTCGCGTGAGATTGAGTGGACTGTATTTCGTGTTGAGAAATGGGAAAATGAAGACGAGAGAGTTTGATGTTCTTACCTTAGGTTTAGGCGACTCATGAAAGAAACCGCTACGCTAGAAGCTGCTGATGTAATCCCGCGATGAGTCTGCAGCCGGCCGGCGCGAAGCTGTTACACAACTGTGCCACAGGTTGTTCAAATGTTGAGGTCTTTCACCAGAACATGGAAACTGATTCCACACTAGTAACCGATCACTCGATCACTTTTAGTAACGGATGAGATTAATGAGAATAATGCGGCGAACCCGCACTGAGAAATCGCGTGATTTTACCAAATATGGCGATGCAAGTGGAGACACTTGGAGATAATCTGTGAAATGCCCAAAAAACCCGGTGTTGAGTTCTCTGTCCTTTTTCTTCTCCTCGTGGAAGGTGTCGCCGTAGTAAGCGGCGCAAACATTAAACTCTCGTATGCGCGAAAATAATGATAGACTGGGTGATTATTATTTAAAGTTACTTATGTTAGTTTATATAAAATATTGAAACGTAAAAAAAACAATAATGAAGGAAAAAAAAAGAAAATTAATGTACTATAGTTATAGGGACAGAACATCCCGCCCACCAAAATGCATAAATGCATTTTCAAGAATCTATAGGGAGTGGGCATATTTTTACTAGTGGTCGCTTGAATGTGCCACCAGCCGTTTTAACGGTTACAACGCGTATTACACCATCACTTCCCGGATGTACTGCTATAATACGACCCATTGGCCAGGACATGGGAGGAGTATGATTATGCTTAATTAGAACTAAAGTACCTGGAGTAATGGAAGGACTAGCTTTCGTCCACTTAGTACGTTGATGCAACGTATGCAGGTATTCCTGGGACCATCGATTCCAGAAATCTTGGTGCATACGCTGCAACAACTGCCAACGAGTGAGACGATTTTGAGGGATATTGGTCAGATCAGATTCGGGAGGCGCGTTCAGAGGTTCCATGGTAAGAAAATGACCTGGAGAGAGGGCAGTGAGGTCCTGAGGGTCATCACTTAGAGGGGTGAGAGGACGGGAATTCAAAAGAGACTCAATTTGAATTATGACTGTATTCAACTCTTCATAGGATAAAATCTGTTCACCAATGACTCTGGTCAGGTGAGTTTTGACAGACTTCACCCCGGCCTCCCACAAACCACCAAAATGGGGGGCAGAAGGAGGATTAAAACTCCAATCAATGGATTCTTGAGAAGCGGCAGTCTGGAGAACGTTATTGAGGTGATTATGAGCACCAATAAAATTACTCCCACAATCACTGTAGAGGTGCTGACAGCGACCTCTACGTGCTATAAATCGGCGCAGGGCCGCAAGAAAAGCCTCTGTAGACATATCAGAGGCAAGCTCGAGGTGCAAAGCTTTTGTGACCAAACACACAAATAGGCACAAATATGCCTTCAGGACTTTGGCACCACGAGTTTTTGATAAAGTGATTGTAAATGGCCCAGCGTAATCAACGCCAACGTGAAGAAATGGTTTAGCTTGTGATATACGGGTAGAGGGTAGGTTCCCCATTGGAGGTTGAACAGAAATGGGATTGGTTCGCCAACATTTGAGGCATTTCGAAATTATGCGGCGAATTACACGTTTAGCTGAGCATATCCAGAACTGTTGGATAACCAGATAGTGAACTTGCTGGATACTAGCGTGAAAATATTTAACGTGAACATTTTCAATGATCAGTGAAGTGAGGCGATTAATGCTGGGTAGGAGAGCAGGAAATCGTCGTTCGTAGGAAATCGGAGCATGGGCTAATCGCCCGCCTACACGAAGAGTGCCATCTTCATCGATAAAGGGGCTTAATTTTCTAAGAGGCTTAGAGGGCTGTTTACCTTGTTTAATCCGAGATATATCTTCATCAAAATGCTGAGCCTGTATGTGTTTAACAAATACATTCAGTGATTGGTGTAGTTCTACAGACATGAGATAACCACGTCGTTTTTTGGAAGGATGACGGCAATTATGAATGAATCGACGAACGTAAGCGACAATGCGCCTCAAACGTTCGAGAACGGAAAACTTATCAAGGAGAGCATCCAAAAGGTGGGAATCAGTAGTGGCGATTAAAGTTAGATTTCGTTCTTCATCCAATGCTTCAGCGGGATACGAACTGGGGGGAAGATGAGACCAATTACGGTTTGGAGAGAGTAAAAAGGATGGACCCGCCCACCATAGGGAACTATCGAGTAATGCAGAGGGGGAAAGGCCTCGAGAACCTATATCTGCAGGATTTTCCGCAGATGAAACATGAAACCAATGTTCTGCAGCAATTTTCTCCTGAATGTGTGTTACCCGATTGCTCACGAACGTTTTCCATCTATGGGGAGATGAATTCAACCAACAAAGGACAATGGTAGAATCCGACCATGCACAGATTCTGTGAAATGTGAGTTTCGGACGATAAGTGGCTAACACGAAGGAGAATAAGCGAGCTAGAAGAACAGCAGCACATAATTCCAATCTTGGAATGGAGATGGTCTTGAGGGGGGCAACCTTTGATTTGGCACAAACGAAATTAGTGGAAAATTCTGTTTTTCCAGTAGCATGAATAAGATAAATAACTGCACAATACCCTCTTTCAGAGCTATCACAAAACCCATGAAGCTCAAAGTTACTAGAAGTGTTAGGCAATAAGAGCCGGGGAATTTTACAACGAGCCAAAGAGGGAAGTTCTTGTGTGAGTTGTTCCCAGATGCGTTTTATGTCATTGGGTGGGGAGGCATCCCAGCCGAGGTTCATGGTCCATAGCCTTTGAATAAGAAATTTAACAAAGAAGGTAAATGGAGATACCAGCCCCAATGGATCGAAAATGCGGGCAAGATTGGATAAAAGATTACGCTTTGTGCAAGTATAATCCACAGACTGTACGGAGAAAGAAAAACAATCTGAAGATGGGTTCCAGTGAAGGCCGAGAATTTTTAGTGGGGTGTCGGCCTCAAAATTCAATGAGTGTGATTCATCAAACAGATGGGAGGCTGGAAAATTTTCCAAAAGGTGGGAATCGTTTGCTGCCCATTTCCGCAGCTCAAATCCGCCCTTTTTCAGTAAGGTTATAAGTTGAGATTGTAACTTCTTAGCAGATTCCAAAGTAGAGGCACCGGTAACAATATCATCTATATAGGTTTGGGTTCGAATAACCTGAGCTGCTTCAGGAAACTCATCAATCTCTTGATCAGCTAAGGTTAATAAGGTTTTTATAGCCAAGTATGGAGCACACGAGAAACCGTAGGTTACAGTGAGGAGCCTATAATCTTTTATAGGCTCGGAAGGAGAGAAACGCCATAGAATGCGTTGATAATCGGTGTGCTTGGGATTGATGAGAATCTGTCGATACATTTGTTTGATATCGGCAGTGAAAACATACGGATATAAACGAAAATTGAGCAAAATGGTAACGAGGTCTCGCTGAAGTTTGGGACCCGTCAAAAGGCAATCATTAAGTGAAGGCTGTCCTGGATCCTTGGAGGAGGCATTGAAAACTACTCGGAGTTTAGTTGTAGTACTGGAGGGCTTGAGAACGGCATGATGGGGAACATAAAAACTCCTATCAGAACTAGAAGAATTCTCGAGACATTCCATATGTCCAAGGTCGAGGTATTCTCGCATGAACTTAGAGTAGTCTTGATATAGAGAGGGATTTTTGAGAAGACGTCGTTCTAAGCTGAGGAAACGAGACATGGCAATATGTCTCGAACCTGGAAAAGAAGGCTCGCCATTACGAAAAGGGAGTGAAAGTATAAATCTTCCTGTCTCATTTCGATAAAAGGTATCATTGAATGTTACTTCGCAAAGCTGGTCTTCAGGAGATAAACTAGTACTACTTGGGACATTCTCTACCTCCCAAAATCTTCCTAGAATATTTTCTAACGTATTATCGAAACAAGGAAATGATTGAGAAGTGGTTTGGGTATTTGAAGCGGTTTTACCCATTAGGATAAACCCAAAAATAGTATTCAAAGCTACAGGATCCTCAGAGTTACCCTCACAACGGCCGGTTTGAAGAATATGTGGAAATAAATCTGCACCTATTAAAAGATCAATAGAGCCTGGGAGGTTGAATCTAGGATCTGCTAGACGTAAATTATGGAGATGAGAATAAGACGATGATGAGATAGGCGAATTGGGCAAATCGCCGCAGATTTTTGGGATGATAATAGTTTCTATATTGTAGTTGGGGGTAGATTTACCAATTGGTTTGATGTGGCAGGATATTCCTGTAGAACTGGTGAGTGTGTGTGTCTGTCCGATACCTTGAATGGAGAAATTCAACTGGTATCCAGAGAGGCCTAGACGATTGGCACATTTTTGAGAAATGAAATTACATTGGGAGCCTGAATCTAAGAGAGACCGGACTTGTTGATAGTTTCCTCGACTGTCTAGAATCTCCACGTAGGCTGTAGGCAATAAAACATTGGAGGAACGCGGTACTATACCTGTGAGTACATGAGAGGCGGCAGGAGGAAAACTTTCCCCTTCTATAGCTGAAGAGCTCGTTGGAGACATATTAGATATTGGCCTTGAATGTATCGGTCGGGAGGAGGTGGCATTTGTTTCGAAATGAAGCATGGTGTGATGTTTCTGTTGGCATTTATGGCACGAATAAGTTGATGAACAATATTTTACAGTATGAGAATTGGCAAGACAGTTTGAACACAAGTTTTTATTCTTTACAATGCGATAGCGATCATTGGGAGACTTCGTAAGAAAATCAGGACATTTATAAATCGAATGATCACCTTGGCAAATGATACAACTCGATGAAGTTGTATTTGTCACTAAAGTAGTGCTGGGGCGATAATGTGAAAAACTAGGTTTCGGGAAACTCTCCACTTTTTTGATGGGTTTTATTTTTCTTGTTAAATTAACATTATCCATTGCACTGCAATGTTTATTAAGAAAGTCTATGAGTTGAGAGTAGGTGGGAATAGCGGACGAACCGTGTTGAAGTTCAAATTTAGTAGCAATTGAAATGTCTATACGTTTCAATAGCATTTGCACCAGTATAAAGTCCCAGGAGTCAACTGGTAAGTTCAACAGTTTGAGTGCTGATAAATTATCAGAAAAAATATCCAAAAGGTTCCGTAAATCTTGTGGGTTATCAGATGATAGTTTGGAGGTATTGTCGATGGCTGACCAATGAGCTGCAGCAATCAACCGATCATTTTTGTAACGATTCACTAATGTTTTGTAGGCAATAGAGTAATTTCCAGAAGTCATGGGTAATTTCTGAACAAGTGACAAAGGAGTTCCTCGAAGGGAGGAAATGAGATAATTAAACTTTTCTATATCACTTAATTGAGTATTTGTGTGAATAACAGCATCAAACATATCTAAAAATGAAGAAAATGTTGTTACATCTCCACTGAAGGTTAATAAATGAAGTTTAGGTAAACTGATATTGTTCTTTGGGACTATTGGTGAATTTTCTTGTTGACTTATGTTGAACAAATTATGGAAAATATTTTTGATTGCATAATAGACCTTCTCAAAATTACGCCTGATTGCATCTTCAGTATCAAATGCTTCGTCAGAAATAATAGAAATAACAGCATTATGTTGTTTGGAAAACTCATTCTTAATAGTTTCGAGAAACTCATATTTAATTTTGAAAATTGAGTGAAAATTCTCATCACCTTCAGCATCGACAGCGGTGTCATGAATTTCCTTCATACGATTTATTTCCGTTTGTCTGAGAATTTGATATTTTTTTATTTTATCCATGGTGGGTAATTGTATCTTAACAGCGGTAGATGTAACAGGAAATTTAAATTGCGAGAACTAAATCACTGTTAACTTGTAATTAATTATTAATTTTTATTTCGAATCACCCTGTAACTTCTGGAAATAATGTGTATATGTGAAATATAATGGATGGCCACAGAATAACAAACTAATTGAGCTAAATTCATGCCACTGATTTGGATTAGTGAAAAAAGAGTACGTATACTATATATTTATTCACCGGAGTTAAAGTAATATGGGTTTCGGCGAAACAGGTATGTATTAGAAACAAAAAACAACCTCGAAATATCTAGTGAATTCGAATGTGTTTCTGTTTTTATTATCTGTTCCGCATGAAATTAAAACACGTCGGTCGTATAAACTTGAGACTGCCAACTTTACGTACTTGTATATGAAAAATTATGATGTATTTGACTTTCAGCTACATTCAAGCGAACCAAATTGATAAAATGCAATACTGAATTCCATATTTTAATTCGAAAATGTTATTATGATTTCGCCACATCCGGCTCGAAGAGGATCAAAATGTTGTGCGAATATCCAGAATCATAAAAATTTATGGATCTATTCGCGTGAGATTGAGTGGACTGTATTTCGTGTTGAGAAATGGGAAAATGAAGACGAGAGAGTTTGATGTTCTTACCTTAGGCTTAGGCGACTCATGAAAGAAACCGCTACGCTAGAAGCTGCTGATGTAATCCCGCGATGAGTCTGCAGCCGGCCGGCGCGAAGCTGTTACACAACTGTGCCACAGGTTGTTCAAATGTTGAGGTCTTTCACCATAACATGGAAACTGATTCCACACTAGTAACCGATCACTCGATCACTTTTAGTAACGGATGAGATTAATGAGAATAATGCGGCGAACCCGCACTGAGAAATCGCGTGATTTTACCAAATATGGCGATGCAAGTGGAGACACTTGGAGATAATCTGTGAAATGCCCAAAAAACCCGGTGTTGAGTTCTCTGTCCTTTTTCTTCTCCTCGTGGAAGGTGTCGCCGTAGTAAGCGGCGCAAACATTAAACTCTCGTATGCGCGAAAATAATGATAGACTGGGTGATTATTATTTAAAGTTACTTATGTTAGTTTATATAAAATATTGAAACGTAAAAAAAACAATAATGAAGGAAAAAAAAAGAAAATTAATGTACTATAGTTATAGGGACAGAACAGTATTTTTTATCGAAAACTATTCATGCAAAACCCGTACGGACGCCACTGGTAGAGAACATGAATCTTTTTTACATAAAAAATTTACCTAGATGCATAGAAGACATGTACCAAATTTCATAAAAATTTCTACAATATTATCTCATTTATTATAGAAAAAGTGATTTTTTTTTCCAAAACTTCATCACTCTGTATCTCATAAGTTGAGACTTTTAGGGCATACGTTCATAGGAATTTTTTTTCTTAAAAATAAGTCGAAGAATCACCTCCTCAAATATTAGCATGCCTTTAACGAACACCCTGTATAAGAAGTCGAAATAGGTTGAAAATGACTTCGGATTCGAAATCAGGACGCCCAATTCAGTAACTATTCATATTTTTACTGGAAAATGTTCAGTTCCAACGAACTCATTTGATTGTTTGGGTGTCTTTATTACCCCCAAGAAACATTATTGTTTATAATAGGGATATACAGAGTGTTGCGAAATTTAACCGACAACGCTTGACAGGTGATAGCCCTCGTAATTTCATAATCACTGAGACGTTGAAGTTGAGAAATTCAAATAGGTTTTTCGCAATATCTCAAGAAAAATTGAATATAATGCATTCAAATTCGGTATATGGTTTCATCTTTCATTGTTTAATTTTTTGACCAGAAAGACATTCCCCTATCACCTGTCAAGCGGTGTCGGTCGAATTTCGCAACACCCTGTATGTATAATTGGTAGATAGGTATGAGGTACTTACCTTCATATAATTTAGCTTGTAGACGATTCTAGGTTGAATCAGCTGCTGCAGTACACATTTTTCACTCAAACACATCACTAATTTTTACCATGTTTTTGAGACACTTTTTATTCAATGTCAATTGTTATTTGTACCTGAACTGTTTTTTCGAACTAATAAAAGAACGAATATGGTTATATACTTACGGCTACTAGATTTCTATAAGAATTGGAAAAAAAAATTGTAACCACGACCGTCGCTTTTGCACTAATGATTACGAAATATTGTTTTATTGTGGAAGAAAAATTCAACACAACGCCTCTGATAGGATAGAATATTATTCTTCGCTACCTACCACTATAAAACTAAATTCTTATCTTTTCTGAAAATCTGACCATTAGTATTAATTAGACGAGGCTGGGTTTATAGATTCAATTATACTAACAATTAGGAATTAACAATTAACAATCAACAATTAATAATCATGAAATGTCTATAGGTTAAAGATGAAAATGATGTTGAAAAGTGATTTTGATTTCCACATTCATGAATCCATAAACAATATGCCAATTAAATATCACCAAACTCAACTTGAACAATAACAAATCCGATCATCATGTTCTGTCTCCAGAATTTCCTAATTATTAGTTGTTAAGTTGAAGGTTGGCCAACTTTGTAATCCTTATTTCCTAATTTAAATAACAGATGTAAATGTATAAGCCCTCACAAATGTTTCTTTGTATTTGTATTGTATTTCTGAATGTTTAAAAATAACTTTGTTTCATCTCTTGGAGCGCACGAAAGGAAATTCCTATTTTATGTTCGTGGAACATCGTGCGTACCTAGGGAGGATAGGGGGAAGCCTTTTAAGCCAGTTCAACACTATTTTTTATATCAAGCTGAGCATATTTTTACTTTAGAATTATATTTTTTGACGTTTGTAGCGGAGGAAGACAAAAAACCGTGTGAGCTAAAATCTAATGTTTTTCCCGTGTACAATACACTATTTTTTTCTGTGACAGAAGAAAGGACGAACCAATATTGAGAAGATATTACAATATTTTGAAATCTGAAAATTACCGACGTGAAATTTTAAGTTTATAACAGTAGGGACACCTGCGTTGTAGGCATCTTTATCATTCTTTTGAAGTATTCAAATATCTGATGTCACATCTGTCAGTCTAATTCTGTGATTTGATTTGAAAAAAATGCGAATTTAGTGGTTGTTTAGTAATATACATAACCGCGAAGTCGAATGAAAGATAAATGGACTTGCAGTTCTATCTCCGAGACGGTATTATTGACTCATTTTTCGGAACTGTAGCACAACAAAAGCCATCAACAGTGTATATATATGTGATATATATATCCGGGAAAAAGGTACTCACATTTTTCCCACGGGAAAAAAGTAATTTATGGAAAGTAACATTTTATAACCTGCCAACAAAGATAAAATGCCAAACTTTTTTCCCGTCACAGAAAAATAACTATTTATTGAATTTGTTAGGAACATTGACTAGAAATGAAGACTTATCAGTTTCCTCAAATGGAGGCTCATTATACATGTTGGCTTATGAGGATGGAATGAAAGAAATAGAAAGGATATCGAACACCAGCATAAGCAATGGTTTAGCATGGTCCCAAGATAACAAACGATTTTACCACATAGACAGTAGCACAAGGATGGTAGTCGGTTATGACTATCATGAAGAATCTGGAGAAATAAGTAAGACACAATCACTATTCCATGAATGTTTGGGGGATATTGTACAAAAAATAAATCTAATAAACTATCTGTATTATATATTAGTAGTTAAACTAAGCCAGCCTCACCACAAGTATAGGGAAATACACGCTTTACTCTTAACTGGAACGCGGCCTGTGATCTGGCGGAGGAGCGGTATATTTTCTCAATTTTCATTCAACTCAAACACCCTGTCGATGATGATGGTGTCACTCCATCGCACCCCCACTTCCCCACTAAAACATGGGATCGCGAACCGTGGGACACCCTGTATATATATTTTTTTCAATTTTCATTAAACTCAAACACCCTGTCGATGATTATGTCACTTCATCACGTTACTGTGCCCCTGCTACTCCGCTCCTCCGCCAGAACACAGGCCGCGTTCCAGTTAAGAGTAAAGCGTGTATTTCCCTATACTTGTGGTGAGGCTGTCTTAGTTCAACTACTTATATTCAGAGTAATTATAAATACCTACTGTATCATTTACCAAGTGATTAAACAACAAATAAATTATACTTACAGAATAACAGATCAAGAAAAATATGAATTACCTAATAATATTTAAAAAAATCAGAAATATACCTAGTCAAATTCAAATATGAACTCAGGTACCTATCTGTTTTGTTTAACAATATGAGATTTTGTTCAGATTTACTTTGATAGGTACCTATTTAATGAATTCGATTTCATTTTATATTGATATCGTTTAATCTTATTGTTAATAACCTCCTTATTCCCTATACCAGACCTTGTTTTCAATGGGGGAGACCACTGATTTTTTGAAACGACATTATCGTGAACTCTACACTGAAAAACTACCAGTGAATTAATTTTGAATTTTTTCATTCATCCTAAGACGATGAAAAAAATTAATTAGAATATGCCCATTTTAAAACACACAATTCGTGTGCCATTTGAAATTTTGTCAAATCATTGGTGTGACTGGTGCGACGTCTTAGTCCCAACACGCCTATCGTCCTTGAACTCACCAATCACACTGCATCACTGCAGAATGACGAGGTATCAGAGAGAGATAGCTACAGTGCGGGACTAATACGTCACGGCTCCACCATCATATTTAGCTTTTCGAAATAACGAATGAAATATGCTGATTCCAAAACGATATAGGATTCCCTTCAACTTCAACTCATAATATTGATTGTAGACCAAACGTGAATAATGATTCGTCGATTGAAAGAGGTTTGCACGGATTTCTTTCCTCAGTGGTCTTCCCCATTGGACGTTTTAGGTATATTCAATAAATAATGAATTAATAAACAAATCAATAATAAATTCACTAATTGTTATTGAATATATGATACAGAGTGATTCACAGTGAATGGTGAATTTGTTATGCATATAGAATAGAAAATATGTTGTAAAATATGAAAGTCAAGAAACAGGAAATCACATGCAAAAAATGACCACATATATCATGTTATTTTGTTCTAGGCAACAAAAAAATTATTTTCGACCTCAAAGATCATCCAAATTTGGAAGATATACCTGACGGTATGACAATTGACGAAAATGATCATCTATGGATCGCATTATTCGGGGGTCACTCTGTAAGTATAACTGCTTTCGATTCTCGAAATTCCACACAATATTTCAATTGGTGAATAGTTCCAACCATTTGAGGTTAATAATTCCAACAGCTTCTGGGCTTTCATTGCATCTAATTTGTAAACATCATCAATTTCCAATTGATATAATTTACCATACTTTAAAAGTCCAAGATGTTCTTTGAACCTAGTTTCAACGAGTTTCCTAATTTGACCAACATATTTTTCCACAATCGTTGAAACTGATATTTATTATCATTCCCGATTCATCAAATAAAAAAGCCCTGATTAGTTACGTGCGTAAATTTTAAGATGATAAACGTAGACCCCGCTTCAGGAGAATTGATGAAAGTCATAGAAGTTCCAGTGACTTAAATGACCTCGGTATGCAATCTATCATACTTCAAAAGTTCAAGATGTTCTTTGAACCTAGTTTTAACGAGTTTCCTAATTTGACCAACATATTTTTCCACAATCCTTGAAACGGATATTTCTTGTTATTCCCGATTCATCAAATGAAAAAGCCCTGATTAGTTTCGAGCGTAAATTTCAAGATGATGACTTACGTGACCTCGGTATGCAATGCATGCAATCTTCCATACTTCAAAAGTGCAAGATGTTCTTTGAACCTAGTTTAAACGAGTTTCTTAATTTGACCAACATATTTTTTCACGATCGTTGAAACTGATATTTCTTATCATTCCCGATTCATCAAATGAAGCTCTGATTAGTTTCGTGTGTAAATTTTAAGGTGATAAACGTAGACCCCGCATCAGGAGAATTGATGAGAGTCATAGAAGTTCCAGTGACTTACGTGACCTCGGTATGCTTCGGAGGCCCTGACCTAGACATACTCTATGCAACCACTTCGAGGCTACACTTGGATAGAGAAGGATTAGAAAAGGAACCGATGGCGGGAAGAATTTTGGCTATAGAACATCTAGGAGTCAAGGGATTACCATCTAGAGAACCAGCATTGCTAACTTGTCAATAATGATTTATTTATTATAAATTCTTCTAATTTATTAACTAGTTATATAACTCTGAATTGAAATTAAATAAATATCATTAACTATACATGAAAAGTGTGGGAGTGACAGATGATGACTTTTCTTCAATGTAAGATAATCAGTTATGAATAAAATAAAAAAATCATGAAACATGAGAAAGATTTCTACAAAATTCTTGGAATTCCTATGATTTGTGAATTCATTCAATGACCACAGATTTCAATCAAGTAATGAGGATTCAAAATTTCATGGGTAACAAATAATTACCAATTTCAGTCATACAATATGAATAATACCAGATTTTTTATATTTTTCCCATCTTATTGATTGAAGCTACCTACTTTTTCCATAAATATAATTCTCCATAGGTACAATTATGATATTTTAGAAACATCACTATTTTCTTTCATTATTGACGAAAATTATTTTTCAGATAAATTAATGATGGCAGTGTCAAATAATAACTTGTACTATAAGTAGAGTTTCCAAATGGGGACTACAGAGGAATTATGAACCATGATACCTACTCTAATGTTATGGAAACTAGGGCAATTCATATGTGATTAAAAATATATTTTTTATATATTTTGCAATATATCTATATTACCTAACTAATATTCATAGATGAATGTCAAAATTGGCACCAATTTTTTTGTTGTCCCTCTCAATAATGTCTTGATAAACAGTGCCCATCCAGATTCCCCTCCAACCACTGACTTTCAAACTTCTTTCATTAACAAAATGGCATATTCATATTTGAAACAGAATTTGATACTGCTATTGTGCATTATTTTACCCCTGTAGTCTACATTCTATGAAACTGCAGCAAATTTGATGAGAGTGCAATACATTTCATGCCTTAAATAAATTCTAATCATCAGATAACAAAAAATAAACAAAGTTACACATTTCACACTTAGCATTTTTGGAAACTTCAGTTTGTCTCAAGGAACAAATTCTGATCAACTACACATTTCTGTAGTGCACATCATGACCTTCAGAAGCATTTTCAATCAAATCCAACAACATGTTTCAACCATTTCCTATACTTGGCAATCTGCAGAACACTACAATTTTTAGAAGCAAAGCTTTTTTCACAATTAGAGACTATCCCATAGAGATTGTACAGCTCTGATTTTGGAGACATTTTGAATAGTTTTGGCCATCTGTTATCTACATTTTCACTAACATTAACCACTGTACTAGAATCAGTGATATTTTTATTCTCAACCATGAGTATATTGAACTGATTTTTACTTTTTGCTTCAAGTTCTAAGCCATGATATTCATATGGTACTTTCAACAAGTGATACACGAGGAACCTCCTATGATAAAACAATGCTTCATGTTCAGGGTACAGGTTGTTGAGTTTATCAACAAGAACACAAAGATCATAAAGCAGAATACTAATATAGTTTACATATGAACATTTTTCTTCCAAAATTCTGGTCCTACTTGGTTTTCCCATCAGATAAGTAAGAAGATTTGAATAATCTCCATCATTCATCATTTTCAATAGAGATTTCACAACAAAGTTATAGTAAGAATCATATACAGCTACAACTTTTTTATGACCCCTTACCAATTTTATCAAATACTGTCTGTAATGATATCCTGTGTGTTCAGAAATGTGGTTATTAATCCATTCCTGACTGTAACTTAGCTCAGAGTAAATAATATTGGAAATAGTTTGACAGTTTGATGCAATATGTTCCATACACCTGAAACCAGCTGATGACTAACCACTAAGAATAATAAACATAGATAATGATTTTTCCTTAAAAGTACTTACCACAGGCGATGATTCCAACTATGATAATTACAGGCAATTTTTTCTGATGCCATATTGGTAACTGCAAACTCATTTTGCAACAAACTCATTGGAATTTCTAAATTATTAGCAGAAAACTTCTCTAGTTGCCTTTTCAATAACCAACGCCGATAAGAGAATGATTCAAATGATTTACTTTTGAAAGTTAAGACAATTTTGCTATAAGAAAACACTTCATTAATCTCATGTTTATAAATCAATTAAACAACTTACCTGAAATGTAGCTCATCTTCAATTTTCAGTATATCATTTTCAACTAAATTTCTCTTCATATTCCAAAATGTGGTACATTCTGGATTGATAAGAATAGCACCAATGAGAATGTGATTCATATTTTCCATTTTGTTGTATCCCAATTTGTTTCGCAACAGGAGTTCTCTATTTTGGAAAAGTGTGGAGCAGGCATATTGATAAACATGTTTTATACACCAGGATTCTAAGCCAAGATTATGTTCTTCATATACAACTGGGGACTTGTTTCTTGTATTATCTTCTGTGGGAATAATTCCAAATTCCTGCCTGGAAAAGCTAACATAAGACAAAATTGATGCTCTTGTACCTAAAGTCACCACCTACAATTCAGGGTCACTCTTCAGAATATTTTCTAGTGTCTGCAGTATCCTACAGGACATTGCATTTTCTTCAGCCATTTATGTTCTTGTTTATATATATTGTTCACTATATAATATAACACTCGTTCTCTTCTTTGTATTTATTTGTACCTTTGAGTATTGTATATAATCAAGATTTGTACTTAATTATTGAAATTTAAAAAATAATAATAATCCTTCAACCTTCCACCCTTGAAAACTTCACTATTTATTAACTATTTGCTATTTGTATTATTTTTTGTATTTGAATTTGACTTTTGACAGACAGATCTATGACAGATCCGAAAGATCCAATCACAGTGGCTAAAAACCATAAGCCCTGTGTCGAAAAGTAATAATTCAGATCACCATGACTTTAGGTATCCTGTGTGCTTTCACGTCTCGACCCTACATGAAAAAAGGAAGAAACATTACCAAATTCTCGTGAGCAGGAGATTATATCAGAGATCAGTCATATCAATAGTATAACGTTATGTGAATGATGGAAGTCAGATATCTTACTTCCATCATGGTTATGTGTATGGAAACGAATCAGCGAACCATGCCGCTTCCCTCAATCGATGAAAGGATGAGGAATATTTCATTCACATTTCACATTCCCCGTTAAACCATTCTTGCTTGGAAGTCTACGAATATCGCTGAATTGTATGTGCAGCAATCTCTTACAAAATAGCAAAATATTTCGAACCAAATTGTGGGTCACTGAAGTTCTTTATGAAAATATCACGAAAACTGCATTTGCTCCAGATCTCACTTCTAGTGGTATTAAAATAACCACTGCTCAAAACTGCACTTTTAACATTAGTTTATACAGTCATTACTCTACCACAAATTGAAAATATGTAGGATGCAAGAGTGAAAATAACGTGAGTTATACTGTATACCCACTTCTTTGTTACTATCATCAATAAATTATTTGGAAATGACTTTTTATTCAAGGGAGACGGAAAAATCATATGTATAACATGGGGGTAAAGTATATTCTATTCTTCATTTTCCTGTAATTTCTCGTATTACTTTTTAAAAGTCTACTTTTCGTTCTAGAATTAGTCACTCCATAAATTTTTCTCCGAGTTGGATTTCCGAAAATATATTCAGCACACATGACATGAGTACAGTAGTTCAGATACCCACATCGAGGTTTTCACCATTTCTCAATCATAAGGCCCAACTCATTCAGCTCATAGTTAAACTACTGCTCAGCTTGAAATCAGAATTCATTCAGTCAATTCAGTCACTCTGCCTGTATGTCACTGTGGTAAATTTTTTCTTGGTAATGGGAAGGGTTCGATCTCTTCACTACATATTGTATGTCAAGTTCTTCCATAATCACGAGATTTTTGGAAAAAATATATGTAAAATTCTTTCATATCGTTAGTGATTTTCGAAAAAAAAAAAGAATAGTACCTGTATACAAAATATCTCCCCCCCCCCAACCCCCCGTTCAATTTTATTATCATCATTAGTCATAGATAAATCATTTTTCGTTCGGAAATTAATCGCTTAGCAGCATGATTCAAGTTATTAGTCATTCACTCGGGACCAGGTGATACATCAAGACAGTCTTATATTAGATGTCATCACGTGAGGTCGAATTTTGTGATCGACTTCGAAAAATATGCGAAAGGAATTATTTATCGTTCCAAACTGAGTGTTCCCTAAAAACTGAGTGATCGTATTGTTTCGTATATAGTGTTTTTGTATTTCGCATTCGATTCAATAATAATAATATCGGGATAACGGGATAGTGTGTTGTTCTTCGTGTTGTTTCATCAGAGCCTCACTTTTTTCATGCTGGTGAGTGCAGAGAAATTCTCTCAATTTTTCCTCATATTCCTCTATATTCATTTAACTGCATTACCCTATACAGGGTATGTCACGACGAGCTTACACTATCTTTAAATCGAGAATCAGTCGGGAGAAATCCATGAAAATGTTCATGCTTATATTTTGGAATACGTTCTTTTCATTTAAGATATGTTCGACAATGCAATGTTGCCGCTTCTACTAGAAAGTAGTAGCAACATTGGTATTTCGAACGGAACACCCTGTATTTTATCACATTTCAAGATTTTTCCTGAAGAGCTGATTTCATCGATATATCATACGTAGGGTGTTCAAAATCGATATTTTCCAACTTTAGGATTTTTTTGTGTCAAAAATATTCATTATCGGTCAAAACGGCTGACATGTCCCTATCTAAACTTTTGTTTCACTATTTAAGTACTGATATTCAATCGATCGGAACAGATACAGAGTGGTTCAAGATTGAGAATTCTGATCACATGCATATTTTCATGGATTTCTCCCGACTTATTGTCGATATAGAAATAGTGTAAGCTCGTCAAGACATATCCTGTATGTTTCGTATCGTTTGTTGTATTTTCTCCAATCAAGAAATACTTTCTTCTGATTTTCGTGCTTCCTGTTCCAGTTTCGAACTGTATCTTTTAAGGATTTACCATCTTCAATAACTGTGATACAGAACGTAATCTTGATTTTGGCAAAATCTTCATCTATGGTCAGGTCATAACTTTTGAACCACTGTGTATAATCGATTCATATTTGGTAGGTATATTCAACTCTAATTTATCATCAATTCTGAATCTCGAACCACCCAGTAAATGTTTCAATTAAATGTCAGTAGATAGTGAATCAAAAGTTCAGGTAGGAACATAAAAGTCATTTTGACCAATAATGAATTGTTTCGACACAAAAAAATCCTAAAGTCAAAAAATCTCGATTTTGAACACCCTATATCTCTGTAATCATTCCCGCTAGACCCCGAGTGTGATACATGGATGAAATCAGCTCTTCAGGAAGAATCTAAAAATACAATGGAATACAGGGTGTTCCATTTGAACAAATCAAGTAGTACTCTGTTGATCGTTTGTTGAGAGCACCCTGTATTTTCTGATGCAACGGGAAAAAAATTTCTGAAAAATCATTCAAGATTAATTTCTAAATTTCCAAATCGGTTCAAAAATAAGTGAGCTAGAGGGGGGGACATTTATGGTGAATCACCCTGTACAAGCAGCATTTGCTGCTTATGTGGGTTTTCTAATGTTTATTTACCTAATGTTAACTTGCAATCATTATTTCTTCCATTGTATTCTGATTCTGTCAAAATAAACATATTATATTATTATACCAAATGTCAATTTGGATGTGCGCCTATAGAAAGAAGACGACATTGTTCATTATTTTCCTCTTCTTTTTAGTAAATAAAACATATCTAGATATTTTGGGAAAGATTATAATTTTGGTCTAGGTTAAATTTTTTCAAATCATTAGACATTCGAAAATAATACTGTCAGTATATCCGTGTTCAATACTTCATCTTATATTTTGTATACTATATATCTCCTTTCCCCCCGTATGATCATCATTAGACTTGGATTTCCCCCCCTCCCCGTATAATTCCATTATCATCATTATTCATAGATAACTCATTCGGTCGGAAATTAATCGGTTATCAGCATGATTCATCTCATTAGTCATGCATTCGGGACCAGGTGGTAAATCAAGACAGTTTCATATTAGATGTCATCACGTATGGTCGAATTTTGTGATTGACATTGAAAAATACGCGAAAGGAATTATTATTCGAAAATATCAAACAATGGAATTGCATAAATCATTTTTCAACTTTTTCACGCAGGTGAGTTTTTTTTTTATTCATTTTATTAAGAGTGATAGTATAATCTGATAGATATTTTGAGCCGATACCACTCGATACATCTAGAAATCTTGGAGTAGGTACTCCTTTGATTCATTTTCATATACATACGTATTTTTGGTGAAAAATGTATAAATAAGATTTGTCAATTCGTATCGCTGACTGTGCTAGACTAGGTACCGCAACTGTCAATTTTCGCAGAGAAACTTTCGAAGTCATCAAAATTTCTTTGAAATGATCACACACGAAACGTCAAACTCTTATTATTATCCATATACTCAGATTGGAAATTTGTCTCGAAATACCATGTACTAATTGTATAATTCCTTATGCTATATTATATTTATATCCAGCCCGCATTCCTGAATAAGGTGATTAGTCATAAAACTTTAACCCCCTGTTAAAATATGAATAACTTGTTTTCTGCTTTGAACAATTCGAATTTGGTTCACACTGTTCGCTAGCACAGTCCTTCAGCTATAATCTCGTACATTTTTAAGGGTGTCACCTGAAACTGTGAAAAATTTTTGAATTTTCAAAAGGATCCCAAATGAACGAAAACTTTGTTTTTTCAACTTTGACAGCAGATTACCTTGGGACATTTTTCGAATTTTCTTATTATCCCTTTTACTGTGTGATAACCTGTGAATTATTATTACTTGAATTTTAAATATTTGCCTATGTTCATTGATGTTTGGTTTGTGAAATTTTGTTGTTTTTTGTTATTTTTTGTTTGTATTTCTTATATTCTTTGACTTGTATATTCATTATATGTAAATTTCATGCTCTGTCAACAACAACAACAATCTTTGACAATAAAGTATAATTTGACTTGACTTGACTTGACTTGACTACTTACAAAGTGATATCGAAGAATTTACTTTTAGGTTCTGCAGTCACAACTTTTTTCCTTTCCAACCGATTTTTAAAATCTCAGGCTCATTTTGAAGACGAAACTTCAGATGAAGAGATATGAAGATCACAATTGACTCAAGATGAACATTGCACAGTGTGTCTCACTTTTGATGGAAGCATACCTGTATTTTTCGTATTTGTTTAGTTAGGATTCTGAAATTTGCAGGAACGGTAGATATATACTGAAAGTACACACTATGACCAAGTAGAGTCATCTTCAGTGATATACACTGCTTGCTAACAGCCATGGAACCATCCACAAAAATGAAATAGGCGCGTTGACTTATTTTTTTTATTTCTTAAATAGAATCATCACTCAAATAACTTTCAATATCATATATTTTTCAAATTTTTCAATCGATTTTGAGGTGCTGAGATCACCAATGATGGTAATTTTCAAACGGCTAAAAATTTACCTCGAGTAAAAACTGACGTTACGATTTCG